TTTTTGAGAATATTTTGTATTTGGTGTGTTTTGTTTTGTTTTTAGTGCATTTTGTTTTGTTTTTAGTGTATTTTGTTTGGAAGTCGGTTTTTTTAGATTTTCAGTCAAATGTCTGAAATCTGATTTTACAAATTAAGTAACCTTAAAACTATAGAAAAACGGGCAACATTTTTTGCGCTTGCGTCCTATTGAGGTCCTCTAACTCCACAAAACCGTTGATCCGTTAAGGTATGTCAGGGGGTAAGCAGAAGGCACTCAGGATAAGAAAAAAAAACATTAAAAAAAAAAACAAATTTTATTGAATTCCATTAAATATACATGTCATGCTTACAATTTACAATACATACAATAGATTTAAACATAAATTATTAAAAAAACATCTAAATAATGCTGTAAAACTGATTTATTACGTCTTTGTATAATTTTTTTGTTTTTTTTATAATATAAGGAGGCAAACGAGCAAGCGGCCTGAATCCACCGAAATGTAACGCGACCGCTGCACAAACATCCGCAATTGCAGCGCTGCCTACCCTTCATTGACGGAGACGCACATAAAGAGGACATTTCTCCTTCCTATGCGTCACCACCTTTAAATCCTTTTAAGAAATGGGTTAAACACAATCTTGACATATTTAATTTTGGGAAACACGGATGGATAAGATACGAAATGAGTATATTAGAGGAAGTTTGAGAGTAGCCCCAGTAGTAAAGTAAGGAGTAAAAGGTTAGCATGGGGGCATGTTATGAGTAACGGCGGATGTAAGGAGGGTGACTTGACGACGACTATGTGACCCCCCTGGTGCCAAAACTGGATCCGCCCTTGGTTATGAGGAGGGATGAATCGCATGTTACCAGTGAAGGCCCAGCAAAAAAAGCAGCGTCGAAAGCAACACGGTGAGATCCCGGGACTCTCAAATCACACCTAAGGGCTGCCACCGAGGGGAGGTTTTTAGTGAGAAATCTCACATAATCCTACTTTTTATAAAAGACAGGGTATCTTTCGAAGATTTCCCCCCGTTAGCAAAAAATAAGTTATGAGTGTGCACCGGTAGAGGTAGACATAGAAAGAGATGGATGATGAAAGGTGACATGATCAAAAAGGGAGTGATGACAGATGACGGGAGTAAAATAAGGAGAAAGAAGATGAGATATTTAATTTAATTATATTAAATAATAGAATATAGTAATTTATAATTCTCGCAAATAAGCTACTTTTAAGTAGACGCAAAGCCGTTTTGGAGATCACTAGGAACACAGATATAAGCACACACAGACAGATACAAAAAATAAAGATTGAAAATTTTTTTATCTCTTCAATTCTGACATGCCAGCTTAAGGCACGTGTATTTGTGCCTTTATACCGAAATTAGTCAAATTGTTCATCCATACTTGTATTTCTTTCTTTAATTACAATAAGTTTATTTTGATCTGTAACAATAATAAAAAACTTAAAACTTTCAATACATAATTATAATATTTATGGCCTTTCCCACTACATTGTAAATAGTCTGATAACAATCCAAAATGTAGAATTGTTGGAGTTTTTATATGTTTGTATACTGGCAGGCAACACTGTACACACAGAAGATGGTTTTTAATTTTAGAATAATGTATTTCAAATTTTAAAGTATTGTATATTTGATGTTTATATATAGAGACTTCACATCTCGACACGAACCAAGTAACATTGTAGGACTAATAAACTTTGTATAAAATATGGTTCAGATATTTTAAATATAATGATGATTAACTAGAAGAAAGTGTTTCAATAGCCCCACACCTCCAGAGCCCCGGACGGGGGAAAGTAACCGTCCAACAAGAATATATGAGGGAAATAAATAAATAAAAAATCTCTTTATTGTTGTATGGATGGAATGAAGGAATGTGGATTTAACGGTAGAGGAGACACGCGAAATGCGAAAGTTTAGATTTTTTTATAACATATGATGGCAAACGAGCAAGCGGCCACCTGAATCCGCCAAAATGGCGAAGCGACTGCCCATAGACATCCGCAATTGCAGCGTTGCCTACCCTTCATTGACGGAGACGCATTTAAAGAGGACATTTCCCCTTCCTATGCGTTTCCACCGTCAAATCCACTTCCCCTTCCCAACCTCTCCTTATAAGAAAATGGCGGTAAAGAGAAAGAGACTTAAATTAGGCCTCCGGCACCACACTCATCAGACTGTACACGGAATTGCTTCCATTTGACGCTTGTCTTCTGTGTGGTCGTGGTATTACTGGGGGCGAGCCCTGCACTGCTAACATGTTAAAGCGGGCACTACCACTGTTAAACTGAACATCAGTCAATGGTGGGACAGGCACTTGTATTTTCGGAAGTTTCTGTTATGGACGAAACTTGACAACTGATATAGTACCTTTCAGAGAAAGTACCGGTGAAAAAATTCAGTCACATTTATATATTTCTGTCTGCTAAAAACTTAAACTTAGGAATAAACTGAGTATAAGCACAATTTGCAATATGTCTAAATAAGTTAGGTTAGTTTGACAATTCACTTCAAATTTAATAGGGATGGGTTGTGTAATCAGTTATGAATCTTATCGATATTCGATTTTTATTCTTATAGAAGTTGGAATCGATAGATTCATAGTTATAAATTATGAGTTGTAAAAAAAACACTGTTTTCTCAAATTAATAATGACCATTACAAATAATGAGGGTAAATAAATGTTTATTACTACTACAGCCGTACGTAATCGAATTGGATTTCGCTATTATTTCTGTCATCGCTAAATTCTCTACACTGTAATCAATAATAGAATTGTCCTATAAATTAGCGAATTAGAAAATAATAATTTTAGTTGAGTTCGATAATTATTTAAACCGAACATCGATAGTTCATAATTGTTCGCTGCGTGTTTCGTCACTCGATATCTGTCTATTAAGTACGTCAGCCTTCATACATTGAATTCGATACTTCATGCGTCATTTATCAAACTAATCTATCTTATTTAGACGAACTATAACATTTGTTTAAAAACTAAACAACTCACCCATGTGCTGATTTTAAATGATTTTTAACATCTATCGTTCGTCTATACTGTTTCTTACAGATCGGACAATCAGCTACAGATTTCCTCAACTTATGCTTGTCCCACATGTGGTCCCATCTCTGTTTGCACGTTTTAAATTTTCTTCTACATACAGGACATGATAGAGGATATTTATTATGTTTTATACGCATATGTTTTCTTAATTTATTATCTGAATCAAATATTCTATCACATTGTGAACAAGGTAATGGGTTCATCGGCTCGTGAGTCTAGAAAACAAAGAATACTTCTATACTGTTGTCATAAAGCGTAAACACACTTTGTTGCCTAAGATGTCAGCAATTACAGCATATTTTTGAATAATTCTTTCTTTAACAAAAACCCTTACACTTGCGTCACGCTTTAGGCTATATATTTTTACACCGTTAAATTTAGGGAGTAAATATTTTGGATAAAAACCCTAATGGAAAGAGATCATAAGTTGCTGCCAACATCAAGGAAGCAAGATTGCCAAGTTGTGTCATGTCATGTCATTTTGACATTTGCTATTGATAATTTAACAAATGTAAACAATAAAATAAAAATTTTATAATTTCATGCATGGGAACAGCTAGTATATTACAAATGTGGAAGTTTAGATGGATGTAGTCTAAACTGCTAAACAGGATTATTCCCAACCGTCACCAACACTGTCCCACCGTGGGGACAAATGAGAATGAGTTTTACCGTCCCACCTTTTAGTCCCACTATCACCAATAAGGTGACAGATGGAACTGTTAAGAAATAAAATAAGTTCCAACGTCTCCTCATTGCAAAAGGTAGGACGAATGAAACTTTTTTCTCATCTGTCACCACGTGGGGACAGAGCTAGGTGACGGTTGGGAATAATCCGAACAGAATGAGGATAGTCTGAACAAATAAGCTATTTTTTTTTTATTTTGCGCGCACGGATTCCCAGTCGATAGCTGTTTACTAATATTATAAAGAGGAAAGATTATTGTTTTTGTATGTATTGAAATAACTCAAAAACTACTGGGGCAATTTTGAAAAATATTTTACCGTTAGAAAGTAATTTATCTGTGTATAACATAGACCACATTTTTTTAATTTCAAGCGGGTGAAGTCGTATCTGATAAATAATAGTTTAGGTGGATGTTTGTTAGAGTTTGTAGCCTAAACTGCTGAACGGATCTCGATGAAATTTGGTATAGATGTAGAGGATAGTCTGGAAGAACACATAGACTACTTAGTTTTGTATTTTTTTTAACGCGGACAGAGTCAAGAGTGAAAGCAAGTTCAAAAACATATGTGAAATCTGACAGTACAGTGACTATATTCTAACCTAAGTTAGGCTCCAAGCCCTCTAAGTTACAAACACCATACATACCTTTAAATGTCGTATTATTCCCGTTTTAGCACAAAACTTTCCACCGCACAGATCACAGATATATTTATGTTGATTATGCACTTTCCTATGTTTACTAAAATTACTTGAATCACAAAACTTTTTAGGGCACAAAGAACACCGATAAGTCTTGATATGAGAGTGTTCTCTCAAATGCTGTCTCCATCCGGGAAGATCCTGGAAATGCTGGTCACAGATGGGACAACGGAGCCTGGCTCCGGTTGCAGCCATCTCTATTTTAGCTTCATGTAATAAATGTTCGATCAAATGCCTTTTATTATCAAGTCTTCTGACAAATATCTTTGAACAAACAATACACACTTTGTGCTTCTTATTTAACGTTGGGTTTGTTAGGATTTCTGAAAATTAAAAAGTTAAAACAGTATAACCTCGATAACTGAATCCTCGGTAACATAAAAACCTCTATAACTTCATAAAATAATATGTTCCCTTCCCATCAGAGCCCAAAACCTCAACATAGTCCCTTGATAACTTAAAACCTCTATAACTTAGAATTTTTTTTTTATAACATAAGATGGCAAATGAGCAAGCGGCCGCCTGAATCCGCTAAAATGGCGAAGCGACCGCTGCCCATAGACATCTGCAATTGCAGATGCGTCGCCTACCCTTATCCGACGGAGGAGGAGACGCACATAAAGAGGATATTTCCTCTTCCTACGCATCTCCTCCATCGTCAAATCCACTTACCCTTCCCATCCTCTCATAAGAAAAGGGTGGTAAAGAGAAAGGGACTTAAATTAGGCCTCCGGCACCACACTCATCAGACTGTACACGGCATTGGTTCCATTTGACTGTCTTCTGTGTGGTCGTGGTATTACTGGGGGCGAGCCCTGCAGTGCTAAGATGTTAAAGCGGGCTCTACCACTGTTAAAATATTTTGTGTTTCCCTTGGACTTTAACTTATCGTGGTTCTACTGTATATAAATTACTAAACTTTCACATTTATATAAGACTAGCAGTTGCCCGTGGCTCCGTCCGCCAATAAATGTTTCCAAAATTTTAGCCTATGTTACTCGTCAATGATGTGGCTTTTAAATCAAAGTTTTCTTCTTAATAATATAATGTATGAAGTATGACAATAATATGATTAGTGATTTTTTAATTTTGGGTTGCAAAAATACGCTTTTCCTTAATAGTTTCTAAACATTAGTAATAATCAAATATAGCCTATGTTACTCACAGATAAATTTTTAAAATGGGCCCAGTAGTTTTTACGTGAATCAAATACATACAAAAATACAAATATATCCTCTTTATAATATTAGTAATTAGCTGCTGTTCGATTCCCCCGCGTGAAAGTAAAAAATAATAGCAAAATATAGCCTATGTTACTCAAAGATTACGTAGCGTAAATGGTGAAAGAATTTTGAAATTGTCCCAGTAGTTTTTGAGTTATTTCAATACATACAGTAAGCTACGTTATCAGTGAGTAACATATGCTTTGTTTTTTTACTTTTAATTTCACGTGGGCGAACTCGCGTGCAACAGCTAGTCCATCCTAATATTATAAAAAGGAAAGATTTGTATTTTTGTATGTATCGAAATAAAAACTGCTAGGCTACTTTCAAAAATTCTTTCACTATTAAAAAGCTAGCTGATCGCTGAGTAACATAAGCTACATTTCTTTTTTAATTTCACGCGGACGAAGTCGTGAGTATTACTAGTTTACAAGTATTTTTGTTTGTAATCTTACTTCTTACTTTATAGCTTAGATGGATGTGTGTTAGAGTTTGTAGCCTAAACGGCTGAAGGGATTTCGATGAAATTTGGCACAGATGTAGAGGATAGTCTGGAAGAACACATAGGATAGCCACTTTTGTTATTTTTAATTCCCCGCGGACGGTGTCACGGGCAAAAGCAAGACTTACCAATAACTCGATCCACCATTTCTGGGGTCATCATACTTTTTAATTCAGCCTCTTTGTCCGACATCTCATCTTCTACCGCTTCATTTAGTTCCAAATGTCCTTCCCAATGTATGAAGAATTGTTCAATTTTAACAATTCCATCACAAACATTGCATATATAAGTGCTAAAATCTTGTTTACGTCCGACGTCACTCGGTACAATTATATACAATTCATGTATATGTATTATTATGTGATGTTTAAGATTTTGTATCAAATAGAACTTCTTAAAACACTGAGGACAAGAGAGATATTTCAATTTATGGTCTGACAAATGACGTAAATATAGTTTGACGTCATTAAAACTTTTCATACAATATGTACATTTCGTATGAAAACAATTCATTATGTGATCTATGTATTCTCTGTAACATCCTGTATATGAACATTGTGTGCATTTGAATTTTTTATCTTTATTAATCCATAATTCGTAATTATTTAATGGTTTTTCTTGTTTCCTATTTTTACAACCGGGTGTTTTAATAGACCAATCTTTAGAACACCCTGTATTCAAATCAACTTCATAAGTATGTTCAGATTTCATATTCGCAAAATCTATATTATTTATTATATTTTCATCATATTCAATTTCTTCTTTTATATCTGTTTCCTCTTTAATTTCGAATTCTAAATTCTCTTCAGTGTTCATATCTTTCACAACATCTTTTTGTTCAAAATCTATATATCGATTTAAAATTAAATCATCTTTTCTCTCAATATCGGATTCTATTTTAACATTATTAAGATTTTCTTCTATAACAGAATGATTACTCGTATTCTCAATATCTACATCAGATTCCGTTATTTCTTGTTTAATATTTTCTTCTCTATCGGTATCTATTACTAATTTCGATGTCTCACTATCGGTATCTGATATCACAAATACTTCTTCCTTTGCATCAATAATACAAACATCGTTATCTTCTATCGGATCATTAACTTCTTTATCTAGAAATTTCTTATAAATACTAGAAGCTTGAAATACTTTAGATATTTCCTTCTCTATTTCAACATCTCTTTGTATTTCAGCATCTAATTGATCTTGAAATGCGTTTTCAGATTCTGAATCAGATCCGATATCAGTATCAACATTTCTTCCAAAATCAGATTCTGGTAATTTCTGGTTTACTCTATTCTGTTCTATGTTAACAGTGCCTGATAATTGCACGTCATCTTTTTTCGTTTTGTTATGTTCTTTAATAATTTCGATCAGTTTAGGAGGTGTGTTATTCATATATTTGAAATCACATAGATATTTATGCACTTCTTTGTCTGAAAATACAAATTAACTGTCACATCTTACTTATTAAAATAATAAATGCGAAAATTTAGATGGATATTTGAGTAATCGTAGTCTACGGATCTCGATGAAATGTCACAGATGTAGCACATGGACTGAAAAAATACAGAGGCTACTTAGGGCCTGTCCCACCAAATTGTCTGATAACAATCAGAAGTGTAAAATATGTGATGGAAATATCGGATTTTGTTCCCTTATCTGACAGTGACGTCATTAAGCTATCTGAGCCAACCAATGGTGGGACACACCCTTACTCTTGTTTGTTTATTCCATTCGAACAGAGTCGCAGATGAAACCTTGCATACTAATATTAGCGACCCGGCTTTGCACTGGTTCAATGTTAATACTTAAATGTATTTATTTACGTAATAGAAATCTATAAAATTATCAATATTTCTCTCCTATAATTGTTATAGTAGAGAAATACTATTTACACAGCTAAACAAAACTGAATGAAATGTCACAGATGTAGAACATAGCCTGGAAGAACGTATAGGCTACAAGTTTTTTAATACGGCCCAAACAGTGGTAGAGCCCGCTTTAATATCTTTGCACTGCAGGGCTCACCCCAGCAATACCACGACCACACAGAAAACAGGCGTGAAGTGGAAGCAATTCCGCGTACAGTCTGATGAGTGTGGTGCTGGAGGCCTCATTTTGGTCCCTTTTAATTTCTACTCTTTTCTTAAGAGGTACGGATGGGAAGGAAAAGTGGATTTGACGGTGAAGGAGACGGGTAGGAAGAGGAAATATCCTCTTTATGTGCGTCTCCGTCAATGAAGGGTAGGCAGCGCTGCAATTACGGATGTTTATGTGCAGCGGTCACTTTCCATTTCAGTGGATTCAGGCCGCTTGCTCGTTTGCCATCTTATGTTATAAAAAATATCGCCAGCAAAAGCTAGTATAAAAACTTACAATTTACTTCTAGACGCATTGTACTTTCCACTGTAACGCATCTTACACAATTTAATGGCAACAGCATCTGAAAGAAAGAAACATCTATATTGATAAGTCATAATATAATATAATCTATGTTCCTCACAGACAAATTACCTTTCTGATGGTCAAAGAATTTTTAAAATTGCCCCAGTAGTTTTTCCGTGAATCATACACATACAAAAATACAAATCTTTCCTCTTTATAATATTAGTATATATAGAGATTAAAATTATTAAAAATATAGCCTAAGTTACTCACTGATAACATAGCGTTGAAATGGTAAAAAGGATTACTTTAAATTGGCCCAGTAGTTTTTGAGTTATTTCAATACATACAAAAATACAAATCTTTCATCTTTGTAATAATAGTAGATTAATATTTTAATATATCGAAATAACTCAAAAACTACTGGGTCGATTTCAAATATTCTTTCACCAATAAAAAGCTATGTTATTTGTGAGTAACATATACTATTTTTTTACTACTTTTAATTCCATGTGGACGAAGTAATTTAACATATTAACACTAGCTGTTGCTCGCGATTTCGTCCAAGTGAAATAAATAATAAAAATACATATGTTACTCACAGATAAATTACCTTTCTAAGTTTGAAGGAATTTTTAAAATCGCCCAAGTAGTTTGAGTTATTTCAACACAAAAATAGAAATCTTTATATTAGTATAGAATACTAGCTTTCGCCTGCGACTCCTTCCGCGTGGTATTAAAAAAAAACAAAAGTAAGTAGCCTATGTGTTCTTCCAGACTGTCCTCTACATTTATGACAAATTTCATCCAGATCCGTTCAACAGTTTTTTGCTACAAACTCTAACAACATCCATCTAAACTTTCGCATTTATAATATTAGTAAGATAGGGACTTATGGAAAAGGTAAGAGGCCATATAGGGTCCAGTTACTGGAACAAAAAGGGAAAAATAAATAAAATTACCTTGACTTTATACCGTCGCCTTTGTACCATATCGCCGTGGTTCAACATATGTTTGTTAAACCACAAACAATTTGGATATAGTAAATTATTTTTACATTTACAGCAATATTGTACCATATCATAATTTGCTGAATGATTCAATAAATGTTCAATAAAATAGCATTGTTTGATTTTCTTCGAGCAATCCGGACATGATGTGACATTTTTATTCATTGCCCTATGTAACTGCAGCAATTGCTTTGTTATATATTTATTAAAACAAACATAGCATTTATATAATTTATTACGTTTAGGACAATCATGGTAATTCTTAATAAAATATAGCTCTTCGCACAATTTACATATCTTAGGATATGTTACCGCTGGCTCATCAGATTTTGGTGTATGATTTAAAACCATATGACTATATATGTCTTCATTTTTACAATACACAGAGCAAATAGAACATATAACCCCAGTAAATTTATTTAAGCTCTCACTAGCAATTTCATACAACCCAACATCGGATAGCAAACAAGAATCACAAGTATTTTTTTTTGGAAAAACTTTGAATACACCTTTTATAACAATAGGTTTATAACAATTCCAACAATTAGTATTTATTGTGATTAAGTTTTTTTTTATTGCATTACCAATACTGGCAACAATATTTATTTTATTACCCATTTCTTCGAGGGAGAGAATTAAATTTGGGTGTTTATGTGATTTTATATGCTGTCTAAAAGGTTCTAAATTACACCATCCATTTAGACATATATAACATTTATATAAAAATGGTGTATTTCTTTGTCTTGGATTGTTTTCATGCCAATTTCTCCATAACTGTATGACATTGTCTAACAGACTTGTATGTACAGTTCTTGGATGTATATAGTTTTGAGGATGGTGAGATCGAATCAATTTGTTTAAAAGTACATCTGTTTTACTTTTCAATAGATACGTTTGTTCTTCGATACCTTTTAGTATATTTTCTTTTGTTAAAGTATGAATTTTACGATTTCGTATAATATAGAATTTTTCGTAACCTGAAAAATGAAACAATAAGTAAATAGGAGAGTTTCTGGAGTGGTAGAGTCCGCTATAACATCTTTGCACTGTAAGACCGGCTCGCCCGGTGTAATACCACGACCACACAGACAGTGTTGAAGTGGAAGCAATTCCGCGTACAGTCTGATGAGTGTGTCGGAAGCCTAATTTTAGTCCCTTTCCCTTTCCACCCTTTTCTTAAGATGAAAGGATGGGAAGGACAAGTGATTTGACGGTGGAGGAGACGCATAGGAAGGGGAAATGTCCTCTTTATGTGCGTCTCCTCGTCCGTCAATTAACGCATCTGCAAATGTTTATGGGCAGCGGTCGCTTTCCATTTTGGTGGATTCAGATGGCCGCTTGCTCGCTGCCACCTTATTTCATATTAAAAAAAATAACGACTATATTATAAGAGCGTGCAAACCTTTGACTAAACTATCGCACGACTGTCGTGCGATAATTTCGTAGCCCATCCAACCGTTTAGTACTCTAATCTACAGTTGATTTTATAGTTACAAAAAAAATAATTAAAAAAGATTAATATTGAATAGTGTGCGATCCTACATAAATGCTGATAGGAATCAGAACAAAACTAAAGAGTCGTGCGATAGATTGCTTTTAGGTCTGCGCATGCTCTAAGATAGTAATTTTTTTTAATTTAATTTTCATGTGTGCGAAAATTACAAGAGATTTTTGACCTCGACTATTTCAAATCGTTCTTTTAACATGAAAAACAAACGAAAGGCGAAACATTTTTATCTGGTTTTATTTTAGAACATGGGCACAGTTTTTGAAAAAAATTGCAGCAAAAAAGTTGTTGTGAAAAAAAATCATTACAGCTTCTCAGTTTTTTTTTAATCTTCAACGATTTTTTATTTTTTTCTCGTGTGAGTTTTTCAAAAAAGGGGATAAAAGTACGAAAACTCAACTATTTGACCCGTTCAAGAAAAGAATGACCGCTGTAATCACATTATTTTGGACGTACGGTCAGATCTTAACCGGTAATGTGATTTTTACTATTAAAAAAAAATCAATAAATTTAAAACTATAGAAAATCGGGCAACATTCTTTGCGCTTAAAAGAGGTCCTCTAACTCCACAAAACCGGTGATCCGTATAATAAAAAGCCCTAAACCTACTAACCGCTTAAGGCTATATATTTTCATGTTATTAAACTTAGGGGTTAAATCATTTAAAAAAAAACCTTTTACAACTAGTAATAAACTTAAAGGTACTACTACATAGAATACTAGCTGTTGCTCGCGACTACGCCCGCGTGGAATTAAAAAATATGTAGTCTATGTTACTCACGGATAAATTACCTTTCTACTGGTAAAAGAATTTTTCAAATCGGCCCAGTAGTTTTAACATGAATTAAATACATACAAAAATCTTTTCTCTTTATAATATTAGCATAGAAATATAGATAAATTCATACCTGATTCATTACTCCTTGTATTATCAAAGCTAGATACTTGGCTACATTTGGGTTCCGAAGTTGAGTTGGAATTCTCACTTGATGCATTCTCATCGTCAGAATCATTACTGATCATTTGAGTTAGTGCTTTTTTGTATTGTTTCTTTGCAACATTGTCTAGAGATTCATTTATTTTAATCTCATATGTTTCTTCTGTATCTATTTCATCTTCTATCTTTTCTACTTTAACATTTATGTTAAAATCTATCAGCGGAGTGTCTTCCATATTGTTAGTTTTATCCTCTCATTTTTAAGTTAACCTGAAAAGTTTTATATAAAATGGAATTTAAAAATGTAATAATATAATTGCTTTAGTTATCTGACTCTTCTTAATTATACTAATACTATATATACTATACTATATTATAAATGTGAAAGTTTAGATGGATGTTTGTTAGAGTTTGTAGCCTAAACGGATGAACGGATTTTGATGAAACTTCCTATGGATGTAGATGATAGTCTGGAAGAACACATAGGGTATATACTTTTGTATTTTTTTTTAATTCCACGCGGACGAAGTCGCGGGCGAAAGCTAGTAAATTATAGTATTATAATTGCGAAAGTTATAATGGATGGATGGATGTTTGTTATAGTTTGTATTCTAAACTGCTAAACGAATCTCAAAGAATATATAGGCTTTTCAATTTTGTTTTTTTAATTCCACATAGGAGAGCCGTGGCCGAAAGCTAGTGGTATATAGACAATAAGAGAGAATAAGAAATTTAAATAATTATACATGCTTGTGATAACTGGATAGTGCCATATCTAAAAGTTATCTATGAGTTAAAATTGAATAAGCATTGATTACACCACCCTTTTAAAACAAAATCAAATTACATTTATACTGGCTTTTGCCCGTCACTCTGTCTGCATGAGATTTAAACAAAAAATAAATAACCAATGTGTTCTTCCAGGCTATACTCTACATCAATGCTAAATTTCAAGATCCATTCAGCCGTTTAGGCTACAAACTCTAAACTTTCACATTTATAATATTAGGTAGATTACCTATGATATATTTTCTGCCTACCCAATCAAAGCTAAGTTAGTTTGCTAGATATATTTGTTAAAAATGTGTAAAAAGGGAGAGTCTCAACACCAGTGGCTGCGGTACACAAGAAGCCAATATTAACAGCAAGCTGTCTATTAGAATTTTATGAAAAAAAAAATCTTATGAATTGATCATCATCATCACCAGCTCACTATAGGTCCCCACCGAGGGGCTCGGAGCCTACCCTAAGTAAGGGTGACTAGGCCATAGTCAACCACACTGCACTGCGGGTTGGTTGACTTCACACATATCTTTGAATTTCTTCACCAATATTCTACACAGCAGCAACAGCCGTCTATTAAAATTTTATTAGAAAAGAAAAAAATCCTATGAATTGATTGATTGAAAGCTTTTGTTACCCATAGCTTTGTAATATCAAAGAGATTTTTGTTTGTCTTGTATTATTTGAATTCAATATATACACAAACACAAATCTTTAGATTTTAGTGTGATCTTATTTTAAGACATTATTGTTAAAAACAATAATTATTTTAAAACATTCACAATAAAAAATAATTAAAAGACTTTTTAACATTTGTGTATGTTTTATTTTAAATGAGTCAAACTAAATTTGTAAATTACAAAAGTAAACTTTGAGGGTATTAATAAAAATAAATAAAATAAAGTAAGGGACATAACAATTATAAAGATGTAACCTCACATAAGTAATAGATTTATTAGTTTTACAACTATGCCTTATATAAAGCCCAAAATTTAAGTAACAAAGATTAGTTTATAATCAGTAAAATGTCTACTACCTTCGCATACCTGTTAGCTTCATGAAGGTAATTAACAGAAGTAAATAATTTGTAAGTACCATTGATTTGTATATCTTTTTAACTACCCACACAGATATGTATAAACTCAAATATAATAAAAACCTTGTTAATGTTGAAAATGTACATTTCCATTTTGTAATATCTACGCATGAATAAAAAAATGGCGGTACCTACCATGGTCAATGCTTCCTTTTTGTGACTACTTATTTTGAGTTTTATATAAAACCAATACTACGTATTAGCTGAAGTATGCATTTTAGCGATTTTATAATCGAATATAATTTAATAAACACTTGTCACAACACATATGCGAGCATAATGGCGAGGGTAGATGTTAACAATACAGGGTATAAAAGTAAATATTAAGCTTTAGAAATGAATTTGGCATGATTTTTTAATTACATTTATCGTTTTTTGGCCATCTTTTACCAATTCATAGGTTTTAAATCACACAAAACATACACACAGTAAGTTTTGTTCGTCTACCCTATCAGTGTTGCCACCTCGGTTTTAAAAAGTGCTCGATTACGAACTCGCATAGATTTGGTAGCATTTATTGTGTCGATCAATATGGATGTGGTATTTTAATATTCCTATTTTTACTTCATAGAAATTCCACATCGTAATATTGTAACTGTAGGCGCAATAAATTAGAATTTAAAGTTGAACTTATTTTGTACTTATCCATTACAATAATATTAATTAAACTTCATAAATTGTTGCGTCAGTGAACTTTTTTTGATTAAAACTAAAACAACTAGTGTAAACAATACCGTTACATTTATTTACTAATAGCGAATGTTGTAAATCCCACCTTGATCATCCATATCTTCAATGATAGCCCGTTTCTACTAAATGTGTGGAATATGGCAACTGATACTGTCAAATGTCAAATCAAAACGTAAACAAACCAATTACCATTATTCATTATTTTTGTATTGTAGTTACTTATCTACTTAATAGCGATTATTATTATAGTGTATTTTGTGAAGTTAACATAGTTTTCACAGTGGTATGTGCACATCAACAATATATTTATGATTTACACATAACCTTTAAAGCACTTAAAACCAATAAAACTGACACAATAACATCTACTGCTTTGTACATTCTGTCTCTGTTAAAAATATTATTCTTTGGATGTAAATTAAAAAACTAGAAAAAAGTTTAGTCTGATGCCTGGTTCACACTACTCCAGGACTGTTGCAACGGCCAGTCATAAATTGATGGATTCATTGGCGCCATTTAGTGTTCACTATTCCAGTTCAGTTACTAAGCTGATGACTTACTGTACTGGCCAAGTGTAAACCTGGCATTAGTAATATGGCATTGTAATTGTGAAAAAAAAAATTTATTTTGCATTTTTAATTCAGAAAAAATGCAAATTTTCTCTTTAATATTGAATGTAACTTTCAGTCTGGGATGTAGAATTTTAGTAAAAGGAATATTAAAAGCCTTAGTGGAGTATGGAAGGGTACATCGGTAGAGGTAGACGTAGAAAGAGATGGATTGTGTGAAACGTGACATGATCAAAAAAGGAGTGAAGACTGAGATGACGGAAGAAAGGTGAACATAAAAAGGCTTTTAATGTTTCTATAAAATTTAATAATCAAGTTTGTAACAAATTGAAACATTGTAGAGCTGAAAAAGATATTAAACTATACCCTTCCATAGATTTTACTATAATTTTATTTAAAACCTCCATACATTTTATCTCCATACATTTTGTATCTACTAAAGATTCGTTAGTTATACTTTTATAATTTGAATTCCATTTTCTTCTCCAAATGTCGCTTATGTTACTTTTCTTCAGATATCTATCTTCTTGAGATGATTGTGTTGAAATTTGTGTATTATGATTTTTATTTACTATGTACCTTTTTAACAGACACTCTAATATATGCAGTATATAAGATAAATTCTCTGTTTCCGTTATATTATTTAATTCTAGTAAATCATTAGTTAATTGTGATAGATATTTCTCCAATATATTTGTTATTTTCACAATTGTATATTTTATAATATGGTTTGATCTGTTTAAAAGAAAAAGGCGATTGATCTTGTCATCTTTTTGTAGTATCTGTAATTAAAAATCTATTTGTATAATCTATACTATTATAATAAAGCGTAAACACACACTTTGTGGCCTATAATCTTGGGCTTAATCGGACATCTGCAAGTGCGCACTGTAAAAGTACAATTGGGAAAACGTACTAGTACACACATTTAGTACCTTAAGTACTTCAGATTTGTGAGAATACAATACATGAATAGAAAATAACGAGGGTTATATATTACTTCACATCAAATTTTAAGCATGGTCAAACATATGTTATAAGCGAAAATAAATTTAGTTATAAATAATTTCTTTCCACTTTTGATTCTCATTATCAAAGGTGGATGCTTCAATCTGGCAAATTTACTATCGAATCAAACAACGAAAGGGCGAACACTGATATCGTGTAGTGTACTAAAAGTACTAAATGTCTGATTCACAGAAGCCGTTCAGTAACTTTTAGTACAGTGCCGAGTAACATTACTTTTTAGTACATAATATGTGTACTACCCAAGACTAGTTGCCTAAGATGTCAGCAATTACAGCATCTTTCTTTATAATCCTTTTTTTAATAAAAATCCCTACACTTACTTTTTTGCTTGTTTTATATGGGCCTGTTTTGCATGTCCATTGTTAGTAATTCATATTCATACTAATATTATAAATGTGAAAGTTTAGATGGATGGATGTTTGTTAGAGTTTGTATCCTTAACGTCTGAATAGAATTCGATGAAATTTGGTACAGATGTAGAGTATAGTCTGGGAAAACACATAGGCTACTTACTTTTGTTTTTTCAATTCCACGCGGACGGAGTCGCGGGTGAAAGTTAGTTTATTCCAAAGTTTAACTATATACAGTGTTTATTTGTAAGGCTGTAAGTGTTAAAGGTAGTTTGTTTTTTTAACTTACCCCATCATCATAATCTCCTTCATATATATCTTTAAGTAAATGGTCAATTGAAGATATAATTTCTTCTAAGAATAAAAAGTATTTTTCTTCAATATACAATTTGTCTATTAATCGTCCTAATACCTGTTTAGATTATTTTTATAAGAAAATCATACTAAGGGCCCATCCCACTATTAGCTGATAGTCTCAGATAGCTTAATGACGTCACTGTCATAAGGGAACAAAATCCGATATTTCCATCACATATTGGATTGTTATCAGATAATTTATGATTTGGTGGGACAGGCCCTGAATACTATAAATGCGAAATTTAGATGGATGTTTGTCAGAGTTTATAGCCTAATTGACTGAAAGGATTTTAATGAAATTTGGTATAGATGTAGAGGATAGACTGGTAGAACACATAGGATAGCCACTTTTGTTTTTTAATTCCACGAGGACGGAGTCGCGGACGAAAGCTAGAAGTTTTTATATATCTGAAGATGAGAAACAAGACTTTAACAAATATCCATCCAAAATTTTGCCTTCATAATATTAGTAAAAAGGTAAGATTAGGAAATGTAAAAGAATCTGCTAAAAATTTTTTATTCACACATATTCTCTTATTCTGATTGTATACTAGCTTTTGTTGGCGTAGTTGTCTGTGCCCAAAATTAATTATTAAACAAAATTAAAGTAATAAATATATCCTATGACAGTCTGTGATAAAGTAACTTTTCAATATTGAAAGAATTATTAAAATTACCCCAGTAGTTTTTGAGTTCATACATTACGTACAAAAATACAAACATTTCGTTATTCAGTAGAATTTACAGAAGTTACAGTTTAAGGGAAACACAAAATGTTTTTAGTTATAGAGGTTTTAAGTTATCAAGGGTCTATGTTATAGAGGTTTTGTGCTCTGATAGGAAGGGAACATATTATTTTTTGAAGTTACGGAGGTTTTTATGTTACCGAGGTTTGGGTTAGCGAAGTTCTACTGTATTAGTACTGATTTTTTTTTTTTTTATAACATAAGGTGGCAAACGAGCAAGCGGCCACCTGAATCCGCCAAAATGGCGAAGCGACCGCTGCCCATAGACATCTGCAATTGCAGATGCGTCGCCTACCCTTATCCGACGGAGGAGGAGACGCACATAAAGAGGATATTTCCTCTGCCTATGCATCTCCTCCATCGTCAAATCCACTTCCCCTTCCCATCCTCTCATAAGAAAACGGTGGTAAAGAGAAAGGCACTTAAATTAGGCCTCCGGCACCACACTCATCAGACTGTACACGGAATTGGTGCCATTTGACGGCTGTCTTCTGAGTGGTCGTGGTATTACTGGGGGCGAGCCCTGCAGTGCTAACATGTTAAAGCGGGCACTACCACTGTTAAAAATAATTATTTAAAAAATTTAACCTCACCCAAGATATTTCTACGACGATGTCTTTACTTGCAATAACTAACGGACTGTTGTTTATAAAATCAATTAAACTCTTCGCAGAATGGTTGACTAAAGTATCTTGTATTTGGTTATCTATAATAATTATTAGTGTGGGTTTACATTGCTGTAATACAGGTATCTCTTTCATTTGCTTTAAGAAAACAGACATGGAAATTACTTTACATAAGAGAGGGAACATACAAGAAACTTATGAACAGTTCTCTTGCAAGAAAGAGATAAAAAGTGTAACATTTGGAGGAAGAGATAAGTAACTAGAAAGGACAATTCGATAATGAATTTCTATATTTTGTGTCAAAAAAATATAGCTGCTGCTCGCGACTTTGTCCGCAGGGACTAAAAAAAATAATAGAAAATAATTTTTGAAATCCTCCCAGTAGTTTTTGAGTTATCAATATATACAAAAATACAAATATTTCCTCTGTATAGTTTTAGTGTAGAAAAATAATAAATAATGTAGCATTTGTTACTCAGTAATAGCTTTTGAATGAGAAAAGAATTTTTTTCAATTGACCCAGTAGTTTTTGAGTTTGAGAGAGAAAATAGAAATCTTTCCTCTTTATATTAGTACAGAGAGGTATTTATCTACTCTCCCTTTTTGACTTGGGAAGGGGTAGGGGGTGGCTGAAAACCAGCTTGACTTTTTCATAAATGCTTATTATTTAGTTTTTTTTTTGGATGTCAATAAAAAGGTTTTTATTTATTATATAAGGGGGTGGGAGAAAGCGTAACTTACGTGAACCAAAAGAACTTCTACTTTGTGAATCACTTTTATATCCAGAATCTGACAAAGAATCCGTATCCTTGTATTTTTTCTCTACATATATTTTTAATCTGTTTAATTCTTCGATAACTTTAAAAGGTACTATTTCTAGTTGAGAATTTAATTCCATATCTACGATATTAATATCTATCTCTTGTTCTTGTATTTGATTATTAATTTCTAGATCATTATTAAATGTTTCATTTCGTTCTGTATCTTTTTTCATATTTTGCTTATCATAAGTTTTATTTGTTTGTATGGAAAACTCTTTGGTTTCATTTGGAATAATTTTATTTATACCCCCATTTTCATATACTGGTGTGAAAATTTCATTTTTTTCATTATTCATTTGTTTCTGTTTAAAATTTGCGTTTTCTTTTGTTTTAAATAATTGGTTCTTTTTAATTTCAACAAATTGATGTTGGCTTTGACTAATATGATTGAATTCGTTATTTAACTGAGTTTCCGATACAAATGTTTCTTTATCTGTATTTGAATTTGTAGTTAAATTTTTTATAGAATCATTTTGGGTTCTCGTATTATCGTTATTTTTAATATCGCCAATAATAAAATATGGTATAGTTTGTTGTGAATCAAAATTTTCATTTTGAATGCTTTTATTTTCATGTGTGTTTTTTAAATTATGTTTGTTAGAGATTTTTGTGTCTTCGTATTGGATTTTAGGTGTATTATATCTTTGGTGACTGTGTAATATAGTTTCTTGTGAATCGAATAAAAGTTGAGTATTGTCTATTGTTACATTGTTTTTATTATAATCTTGGATATTTATTTGTGAGGGAACAGGTGTATTGTATTTACTAATTTCTTTAGTAATATTTCTATTTATTTGTTTATTGTCATAATATATTTCAGTTTGTTGTGAATCGAATGGTAAACTTTGTGTGTTTAAAATTACTTCGTTATTTTCTTTATTGTGTTCGTTTTCTAAGTTAGTAGTATTATGGTTTAAATTTAAATAAATTGATTTATTCCCTTCTAATATGCTTTGACTCTGTTCGTCTTCACAAAATGTTGTCTGTGTTAGTTCTTCATTGTAAATCTGTAAGTTAATAAGCAAATAGACTATTATTTATAATGTAAGGAGATAAAAGAACGAGTGGTAGTGCCCGCTTTAACTTCGCACTGTAGGGCTCACCCGGTGTAATACCACGAACACACAGAAGACAAGCGTGAAGTGGAAGCAATTCCGTGTTTCGTCTGATGAGTGTGGTGCCGGAGGACTAATTTTAGTCCCTTTCCCTTTCCACCCTTTTCTTAAGAGAGGGTGGGAAGAAAAAGTGAATTTAACGGTGGAGGAGACGTTTAGGATGGGGAAATGTCCTTTTTATGTGCGTCTCCTCCTTCAATGAAGGGTAAGCAACGCATTTGTAATTGCGGATGTTTATGTGCAGCGGTCGCTTTCCATTTCGGTGGATTCAGGTCGCTTGCTCATTTACCACCATATATTATAAAAAAAGTGAACTGACTGCATAAAACATCCGAGTTTGCACTGAATTTGTAAGAAATACCTTATTAATTTGATTATCTATGTTTGTTAAGTTTGTAATGCTTGTTTTTTTGTTATCTTCTAAATTATTTTCCATATTGTATCCTTCTAGAAGGTTCACACTGATGTTTGTCGCTTGTGAATCATTTAGATCTTCACCGTTGAATGTTATTCTATCATCCATCACCTCGATATCGTCATCAAATTTGAAATCATCACTGCATACGGTGATGTCCGAATCGAAATCCATTTTATTTATATTTTTTAATCTAATAATATATTCTTGTATTGTTAGATTGTTTGGTTTGCTTTTTATAACTGCTGTGGCAATTGCTACTTGATATTTCAGTGTCAGTTGACGTGCTGTAAAATAACATTTCGTAATTCGAAAATTATTTAACATGACGCCTACTTCGCTTAAAGCAAAAGAAATGTTGTGTTTTCCAAATGCTTAATTTTAGTTATTCGTTAATTAAGTTACGATAATAAAGAAATTTGTCGATTTTGTCGTTTTATTAACTAACCTAATATACGTTATTTATTGCGTAATATTTAAAATGAAACAATTTTTAACGGTCATCTGATTAATTGTAGTTTATATAAAATATGAATTATAACAAGCTTACCGTAATCATCAAAATTCATTTCGTGGTAATCAGATTATTTTTCATTTTTATTTGTATGCATTATTACATTTCACGAAAATATTAAAATTCAAATAGTATACGCCGTTAAGCACCGTTAAGCGGCAAAATACAATATTAAATTATCTTTTTTTTTGGCAACAAGTTTTAATAGGCAAAGAATATTTAAACGCATCGCAATCTCTTCAAAAACAGCATGCGTACGAAAAGAAAGAATACAATCAAATAAAAAAAGAAAAGGAAAAACATTAATAATTTTTTGTAATGTTTACTTTTATTAAGCTAAAAATAAAAAAAAAATGATAACATTGCTGAAATTGGCTTTGTTTGAATAATTTTCTTTGCCTATATTTTAAAAAAATTAAAAAAGTCTCCATATTTACGTAATGTCAAAATGTCATTACTTTTTTATGTTTATTCAAGTTTTATTACGTTTTGAAAAATGTATTTACATCGAACATTAGATATATTTAAATGGCTCTTTACACAATATTATTTGGGATCAGTATTTTCATGATAGCTTTGGTTATCGCGGTAATTGAGAAGATGTTTTTTCATTGGAAACACGAACATACTATCGAAAGAACATCTTTGGTTGCTGTGGAACGGCCAGGTTAGTTATTAATTTAACTTTTAATCCAGAGAGATCCACTATGACCTAGAATTCAGTTAAAATATAATAGCCAGAACTGTGTCTTTAAAATCTCACTTTAATTGAACGCCAAAATTATGTAAACAGAGAAACGTCAAATTCCATATATAACGGCCATTGGAACGTTTCATGTTTTCAGTTTTTTTTTAAATATTAAAATGGTAATAGGTCACTGCACCTAGACTTTTTAAGAATACTTTCACAAGCTTTTTTCGTGCTATAGCTAACTTGCGATGTTTTTTATATATTATTTTGTATGCCTATGTAGGTTTTACCACTGACCTATATAAAGGGATAGGTTATAAGCTATGATGTTTTGTAACTTTGATATTCTCCATTCTAACGCTGAAGAGTTTTCGATCTAGTTATAGGTATCGACTTAACTATCCTTAAAATCAAAAGGCGCGTTAAGGCGAAACTATTAGTACTAGAATAGTATTATCTGTGGTCGGAACGAAGCAAAAGCTGTTATATCCAAACAATCGCCTGTCTATGTGAGAGTCAAAATGGCGGGTGTGCCATCGCGAATTAAATTATACCACTTACTAAAAAAATGTACCTAAAATGTACCTCGCTCAAAAAAAATTGTACCTTTTCTAGAACGTAATTATAACGAAATTAAGTTACAGCCGCTATATTGACGTCAATATGCCGGGTGTACTATTTTTTATTTTTATTTTGGCCATTGACTCTCACCTGTCTATTTGTATATATCTATGAGGTTAACACATTTTCTACATAGCTACCAAATACACTACTATTCCTAGCCTCTCACCGGGTTACATATTCATATTTAACTACAGTTTTTTTATAGCGGTCAGTTTAATGATACGTACTTCGAGGTGTTTCTTCAAATGTCGCCAGTACGCCGATGGGAGTTGCGTGTATGACGTCATAGACAAATCGGACTCCCCAACTAACGGTTTTGAATCTGTGGCCAACTGATTTTTTTTCTAAGAGTAAATAAATGACAGTCCAATTTTAAATAGTTTCATTTATATTAACTAGCTATTTCCCGCGACTTTGTGCGGAATTAAATTCTTAGTACGTTCCAGACTATGTTTTAAATCTGTGACAGACATCTAGACCCGTTAAACCGTTTTGTACACGTAGTCACAAACATCCATCCATCCAAACGTTATAACTGTGCTTGGCTGTAAGTTTAATTATACAGATATATACAGATTAATAATTCCCACAGATGAAAAATAAAAGAAAGTGAAGTGAGTTTTTATTCACATTTAAAATATTTATACAATATTAATAATGATGTCTTCTTTTTCTTCTAAATCAGCGAAAACAATTTATACCGTATACGCTGTTTATTTTTATAATATCAATATTTGATAGTAACTTCGAATGTTGGCCAAGAGACTTCATTATGCTGCCGTCAGGATCCTGTAGGGTAGTTAGAAAAAACTTTCAATACATATTACAACCAGATTTTCATGTTATATCTAAAGAAATCAAGCTAAAACATTGAATAAAACAGTTTCGGGGGATAATGCCAGTGAAAATCACGATTTAATTACCCCCACCCCCTTTTCAAGCACTAGATCTATAAAAAAAATTGACATCCAGATGGAAAATTCGGAAATGATAGAGATGTATGTAAGAGTACATACTGTACACTACGTAGGGGAAAGTATGTATTGTGTTGCAGAGGATATGCTAGAGAAGGCAGTGAATTCAGATATTCAGATAGAGATGTATGTAAGAGTACATACTGTACACTACGTAGGGGAAAGTATGTATTGTGTTGCAGATATGCTAAAGAAGACAGTGAATTCAAATATTCAGATAGAGATGTGTGTAAGAGTACACAGAATACTGTACGCAGGGGAAAGTATGTACTGTGTTGCAGAGGATATGCTACCTTGTCTTTGTACGTAGCTACAGTCGAAATTCCAGTCCTACCAATTTGTCTCCAGAACTGCCAAGAGGGATGTGTCGCGCTCTGATAATCGTAGGGCAATGGCAGAGTAGCTTCGGCTCGCATCTTCTCAAAGTGATGTAATTTATCTGAAATTTAACTTTTGTTTATTGACTGTCTACAGATTCTCTTTATTAGAGACTCTATAAGTGTTATTGTAGGTAGATGCGAAATAAATTTACTGTCGGTAGTTTTAAAAATACTACATACATCTGCGATGCGTAAGTGAATTTAAAATTACATGAAAATGATAATGGAAAATACTTGTAAAATAGCATAATTAGATATATGTTATTATTTTTTACTCTTATAATTGGCCTTGGTCATAAAACAAAACACGGTGGTCTCAGTTGGAGGAAAATTAGTGAATCCGTCTCGAAGGACCAACCTGGTCTGATATGTCGCACGTGGACTCTAATGTGTTTGTCCCGGTCGTGGCGCGCCGGCTCGAAGTAGAACCCGAGCATCGACATCACCACCATCGCGGCATGCTGCCTGTGCTGTTTACCTTCAAATAGCTCCAATGCACCGAAGTTCTTGAAACAATACAAATATAATAACTGTGACATACACTAATACATATTCTCTGCTTTGTCAAAGACAATGAAAGGGATGGACAATGTATATACAACACTGGAGTTCTAGGGTAAAGTTTTAGATTTACTTTTTTGGGTCCAAATTGATATTTGCCTGCACAGTGGCAGTTACTAAACTAGCGCGTAATATCTTTGGACTTCATCAATTAACATCAAGTGGGTAGTCAACATTTTTTGTTTATTGTATAAAGTTGTTTTAAACTCATCGTGGAATGATTTGACCCTAGTTTTTCGAGTATGCTCAAGAAAAGCCAATTATATCGCTGTTTCTCTACTGAGTTTCTGTTGTTAGTCACAAAAAATAACTGCCACTATATTATTTTATATTGATCGGAAGTCCCATAAACAATTACTGGCGCTTCTTTTAGTCGCGTTGTATCTGTCTCAATTTTAGTGGAGTTGTTTTGAGAGAAATAAAACAACGCCCCAGTTTATTCACTTTTTATTTGTATTTTACTAAGCGAAATAGCAAAATCTTATATTAGAAAAATGAAAAAACGTTACACATAACTAAGAGGTGCACTATGAAATCCGATAAACATTTCACAGCTTGAAAATACCGAAACACTTCTAAAATATACGAAGATTTGAATTTAGAATTTTTCATGATCTTGCATCTTTAGTCTATGCTTTGACGTCCATTTTGGCGGGCTTTCTGCACTTTTTCACTTAAATGACACCTGATTAATCAAGAATATTGCGGTAAGTAGACACTGTATTGCATCCGGTTTTTTTAATTCCAGATTTCTCTAAAAAGCTAAAAATGTGAATAAAACTTTTTAGCACATTAAAGCGTTAAAACACATATTATTGGACAACGCAGTTTGAGGTAAAATAAATTTAAAACATAACTAGTCTCTTAATTTAAAAACAAACTTTAAAAAATTTAGTGGTACATTTGTAACAGATTAAAAAGACAAAAGTTGTGTTTTTTACTTCAAACTGCATTGTTTGTGCGAATAATTAAAACAAATATAGCGAGCTATTTAAAAAAAGCATCAATTAAAAAGGAATATTAACTTACCGAAAAAATTTTAAGAATGGACATTTCTAGAATCTTCTTTTATTAAAAAAATTGAGATCATGAAATTCCGACTTAAAGAAATAACTCATTCATTATTCTCCACTTCTTCAATAGCTGTGTCATTTACTTCTCCATTCTCACTTCTTTGTCTCTTTGCTCTATGACGAATAGAGTTAAATTTTCTCATAACAAGAGACCAGTGCGTCAGTAACTCCGACATCTTCCTCTCATACTCTTCTCTCAAACAATCAGGGTTCAACTCCAGCCACTCTATTGCTTCTTTACACTCCTTTGTTAATGTTGATATTTCATTCACCGATAACATTTCAATATTATCCGTCACAGTTTGTTTCACGCTATAAACGTAACCTTCTAGTTGATTCCTTACTTCTAATCTTCTTTTATTTTCTATATCTTCTTCTTTGAAAGCTTCCGCATCTGCTATCATTTTGTTTATCTCGTGCTGGCTCAGTCTGTGTTCATTTGTCACGATTAATCCATTTTTATTACCAGTGCTACGGTCTTGAGCGTACACCGAGAGTATACCATTAGCGTCAATGTCGAAAGTGATATCCACTACTGCTATACCTCTTGGAGCTGGCGGTATGTTTTCTAATTCAAAGACACCCAATAGATTATTGTCTCTGGTCAACGCTCGTTCGCCTTCGAACACCTCTATGGTCATACTTCTTTGGTAATCCTCTAATGTAGTCAAATCTTTGGTCTGACGACAAGGGATTGGTGTGTTTCGATCTATGATTTTGTACATCATACCCCTAGCTGTCTCTACACCAAGTGACAATGGCACCACATCAACTAGGAGCAAATTTTCTATTTTCTTGTGTCTTTCGCCCGATAATATAGCAGCTTGTATTGCAGCACCACAAGCTACTGCTTCTTCGGGGTTCACTGTTGATGATATAGCTCTACCATCGAAGTATTCTTGCACTAACTTTCGTATCTTTGGTATTCTCGTACTACCCCCTATAAGTATAATATCGTTGATGTATTCTTTCTTCATTCTGGCTTCCTCCAAAGCTTGTTCGATATATTTTATCGTATCTAAAAACAAATCTGAACATAATTCTTCGAATAGGCACCTGGTTACTTTACCCGTGTAGTCTAATTCGTTGTACAGCGACTCTATTTGTACTGTTGCTTCAGTTGCAGATGTTAGAATACGTTTTGCTCTCTCAGCGGCAACTTTAAGTCGACGAAAAGCTTTTCCATCGCCTATAATCTCTTCTCCGTAACGTTTTTTAAAATCTTCAGCGAAGTAAGCCGCTAGACGATTGTCAAAATCTTCTCCACCGAGACGTGTGTTGCCAGCAGTCGATTTCACTTCGTAAACCGGTCCTTTAGATATAGTTAAAACAGAAACATCCAACGTGCCACCGCCTAAATCATATATCAATACATTTTTCTCACTCTTAATATTTTTATCCAAACCATAAGCTAACGCAGCTGCGGTTGGCTCATTAACAATTCTTAAAACGTTAAAACCAGCAATCACTCCCGCAGCCCTAGTAGCCTGTCTTTGACAATCGTTAAAATACGCGGGAACCGTTATAACTACATCATCTACCTTCCTTTTCAAATACAATTCAGCCACCTCCTTCATCCTGAAAATTATCATAGCACTTATTTCTTCGGGCGCGAACGCTTTCCTTTTATCCTTATAAGAAACAATAATTTTTGGCTTACCCTTGTCGTTGATTACTTCAAATGGCCAATGGCGTAAATCCATTTGCACCGCGACATCGTCATAACGACGACCTATCAAGCGTTTCGCGCCAAAAATTGTGTTTGTAGCATTTGACGTCGCCTGATTTTTCGCCGCCTCCCCAATTAGACGCTCCTGAGGTGTGAACGCGACGAAAGATGGTGTCGTTCTGTTACCATGCTCGTTAGTTATCACTTCCACTGTATTTTTTATCCATACCGCCACACACGAACTGGTTGTACCCAAATCAATCCCTATTCCGACCATTTTAAATATTTTCTACACGCACTAACACCTGTCACTTTACAGTCGTGTTTAACTATCGTTTTGCCGCGATCACCCGTATTTATACTTTCACCAATAGCGAGATAGAATTTTCGAGAGCAATTCGCGTATCAACCAATGAGAAACCGGTATTCATCGAAGTTTCTGGAACTGGGTTGCCAGATGGAAGAAATTTAATTTCTACTATTATTTTTTATTTTAGTACATTATTTTCCAATAGTAAAATAATAATTGAGGAAAAGTTAGTCAAGTAAAAATAATGCCTAAATCTTTCTTTTACATTTAGTAAAATAAAATATTATGGACTGCTATGATTAGTAATTATTTTCAAATTATTATTTTTGTAATGAATATCACATATGTTGACAAAAGAAACAAACACCAATGAATTAGTAACAGAAAGCAAAAAAATTGAATTTTTGAATTTAAAACTATTTTACTGTAATGAAAACTACTAAATAGTAATTTCTTATTATGTCTGTCCACCCAACTACCAACTTCGTTGACGTCAAAGCATTCCAGCTTCAACTGTTCATTGTTTATCATGCAGTCCTTTTCTAACATAGGATTATAAGATATAACTGTCTCATCGGGATTTGCGTATCTATCTATCCATACATGTAATAAAATTGGAGTGTCTGTTTGTAATAATAAAAGAAAAATTAAAGATTTCGGGAATATGATGCATTTGCGTTGCTGATAAGATAAATCGCATTTAAAAAATTTTGTCTGTCTGTCTCTATCCACAAGCCGTGTTTGTTCCGGGCAATCTCCGGAATGGCTGGGCCGATTTTGACGGGACTTTCACTTTTGGGGTAGTAGACGGGCATATTATAGGCTATTTTTTGACCGACTTCCCAAAAGAAGGAGGTACTCAATTCGTCTGTATGTTTTTTTTTTTTTTTATCTTACAATTGCGTGGAAGAAGTCACGGGCAACAGCTAGTACTAAATAAATAAATCATAATCGTTGTTAACTTTTTAAACAAAACCAATAATAATACAGATTTTAACGTGTTCTTTTTAAATGGTGCAAAATTATTTAATAAAAACAAAAAGGTCTCCCCGGCGGGGAATCGAACCCCGGTCTCCCGCGTGACAGGCGGGGATACTTACCACTATACTACCGAGGACTTGAGAACTGTTGTGAAATAAAGGTACTGATTACAGAAGAACATTACGCGTACTTTAATTATTTTTTTCTCTTTATAATTATTTTTATTACTTCCAATTTGTATATAAACGAGATTACATGATTAACAACAATATTGATTGCAGACAGCAGCATATATTTTTTGTATATAATGTCGAAAGTATTAATAAAGAATGCCACAAGTGTATCGACAGATAAAATAAAAGTTAGGAAAATTCTAGAACTCATCTCTCATGTATTTTAAAATTAAAATCATCGACTTATGAATTATTTATTTTCCATCAACAAAATAGGCCGATTCTAAAACTGAAAGTCATATAAAAACAAATCGTACTCCTTTGGAATAAGGTTGTTATTAGCATTCTTTACACAAGTCGTACATTGGAATGTTTTAATAATGGTGTTTCCAGAAAGGTAATAGATTTCTGGAATTCTCTTTAACTGCTATGGAGATAACCGTGTGGCAATAAATTAATATTAACAAGCCATACATATTCGAAATCAAATGAATCTAAATGCGACAACGCCATCTATTTCACAAGTTAAAAATCCAAGATGGCTGCCGAAGTAAAATAGTTTTTGAATTGCTATTTTTATAGACAACAGATGACAAAAAGGTCAATTAAGAAAGCTCATAATAAGGTATGTGTTTTTTTTTTATTTTTTATGTGGTTGTTATTTTTAATACAAAGAATTTTGTTGAATAATTTGTCAATACAAAACTAGATGGCTCTGTTTTTTATGAATAGTGTATCGGTAATTTTTATGTAGCTTTGTAAGTAAACTAGCTGTTGCGCGTGACTTCGTCTCCGTGAAATTAAAAAATAATAAAACATATAGCCTATGTTACAGAAAAATTACCTTTCTAATGGTGAAAGAATTTTTGAAATCTGCTAGTAGTTTTTGAATTATTTCAATGCAAAACTACTAGTCTTTCCTCTTTATAACATAAGATAACTCTTTATAACATAAAGATTAAAAAATTAAATACTTTATTTTACCTGTTTCCCGCCAACTCTTCCAGTGACGTAATCCGGACTCTGATCAACAACCAAATAGTCTTGGTACTTGCTTACTTCATATTCACTTATTTCTTTTAAATGAACGCAGGTTTCAGCTTTTAGTATACGATTAACGTCTTCCAAACGTTGCTTTACTTTATCTAAGTCGTAATCTGTAATATAATAGTTCATTCTTCTTATTTAAGTAATTAACTACTTACTAAACGATGGTTTTTTAAGCGCGTTAGAAAAATATCTATAAAATAAATTTACTCCGCCATATTTTGTTAATGAGCGCCATCTATTAATAATTTGAATAGATGCTGCTGTCAAATTAACTTCTCGCAAAAATGCAAATATTGTTGTATAAAAAAAGTTTGCTGATTAATTTGTCTCGTAAGGTAAGATTAATATTTAATAATTGTTGTTTATTAAAAATCAATAGAATTATTGAATATTTCTGGGATTTAATAATATAGAACATTTTTATTGTGATAAAAATATCAAAATGGCTGCTGTACTTTGACGTTGTTTACAATATTTCGATGTTCCTTTGGAAAGTGTTATAACTTACTTTTTATAGAGTTTTTAACATAATAAGGTACAACGTTATCAGGCCAACGTCTTTCAGAATAAAATTCCAAGTTTTCTTTCGATAGTTGTACAGTTTTAGGCGTGGATTTCGCTTCTGGTTCCTCTTGTACTTTCCTTTTTTCTTTAGCCCTTGAAATGGGGAAGAAAGAATTAATCTTGTCACCTTAAAATTGTTAATAATGATGTTTTATAATCTCACTCGTGATTATACATTCTTTAAATTAGTACATAACCAAAAATGTACGTTATTACGTATTATTAAAACTTTTTTTTGTCTATAGTTGCTTGTATTCCAGATTAAAAATATTATGGATATCCTTTGACCCATTCTGGAAACTTCTAACAAACATTCATCCATCTTAATTTTCTCATTTATTATATTAGTTAGATAAGTTGAAAATCTAACAATTTATAATCAAGATGAAAACTTATTCTTACTGCAATCTTCTGGTCTTCAAAGATGTTCGCGCGCTTATAAATAAAATCAACCACAAAGTAAGATATTTTTAAAATATAAAAAGTTACTAAGCGATTTTTTAGATAAAAAAAACGCCATTTTATCTATAATTCAAAGGATTAAATGAAAATGTACTGATAGTGATTAAATATTTATTGATTTAAATGTTTACCAATTGTCGGACATTTTTTTCTTCTGCGTTAGACGGTTTTTCGATGTTGGTTTGAATACTTGCTCTTTGGCCTCCAGTGACAAATCGGATTCGAATATTTCCGGTTTTTCGCCTTTTTTCTGTTTGTGGATACTGAAAGATAATTACTTTTTAATAATTGACCATAATATTTAATAAGTCGTATATGTACGGCTTTTATTAAATAAAGAATTTTTGAAAAATATGCTGCTATGCTAATAAGTGTGTTCATATTTTTTATATTACTAGCTGTTGCTCGCGGCTTCGCCCTCGTGAATTTAAAAAATAATAAAAATGTAGCCTATATTACGGATAACGTTGCATTTCAATGGTGAAAGAATTTTTGAAATCGGTACAGTAGTTTTTGTGTTATTTCAATACTTACAAAAATACAAATCTTCCCTTTTTAATATTAGTATTGATAGGAATAAAATTAGTACCGTGCTATAGAATTGGCGCAACTCTAGATTATCGGCATAAACGGCTCGTCCCTAGCTGACAGCTGTCAATGTCACTAGAAGTATGGATAGATTTGGCGCGCATCCTAAGTCTTGACGAGAAGTATTGCTCTGAGTTAAAAGCGACAGTATCAATTAAATAAGTTGTCTAATAGTATAGATATAAATATATCGATTTCTTACCGGAAATCACCGAAGCGTCTTCTAATATCCACTGTCAATTCTTTGATGACATCTTTCTGCGTTGTAACCGTTTCCGTTACATTTTTAATCTGTCCCGTTTCCGTCGTATTCAATATTACATTAATCGTACTTGTTTCTTGAGTTATTTGCATTTTCTCAGTCACAGATCTCTTACGTCTAACATCTTTTGTTCCTTCATTAGTTTCATTCCCTATTCTTGATTTAGACTTTTCGTAAACACTTAAATCTCTATAAAAATTAGTCGACAATGGATAGTGAGGTCTATGGTTTGTTGAATACCTTATAATACCGAAATTAGTCGATTTAAGTATTTTACATTTACCAAAATAACCACATCTAGCAATATGATATTCATCGATAGAATTAGACGCTTCGCAGAATTCAGTTATATTCTCAACCGCGTGATTTACTATAGATTTCGCGTAATCAGTAACTAATTCAACCAATCCTAGAATATCAGACGGTTCCATACTAGATCTGATATCGTTCGACTCATTACAATATTTACCTCTAGCATTTTTTAACGCTAAAGAAGTAACCGTGTAGACTTTCTCTAATATTTCTTTTACTTCATTTTCTATACCTAAATGGTCTAAACTTGTTAATTCAGTTTTGTTAATAGGTGGTGCGGTTATATCTCGATTAACTCGTAAACTAGGACCGATAGCGCTAAGGTCTATGTCTCGTTTCCTTCTAGCGACGCCAGGGTAATTCTGACATTGATCTATCTTCTCCTGTCTGTCTCTCTTCTGGCATTCAGGGCCGTAGATTATATCTATTTTGCGTAGATCCGTATCGGAGAGTCCGTTACGGTTTTGACGGACTGTATTATCCTGAAATATTTTTTTTAAATCAAGATTTACGCAAATAATTAGTGAAAAGAGGTTTTAATGAAAGGCAATAAAAACAATTCAAGTAAGTAGGCTATGTGTTCTTCCAGACTATCCATCCATATAGACTTCGGCATTTATAATATTACTAGCTGTTGCTCGCGACTTAGCTCGCGTGAATTTTAAAAAATAAAGCCTTAGTCTATGTTATCAGTGATAACGTAGCTTTTTAATGGTGAAAGAATTTTTGAAATCGGACCAACAGTTTTTGAGTTATTTCAATACATAAAATTGACATTTGACAGTGGTAGTGCCCGCATTAACATCTTAGCACTGCAGGACCGGCATGCCCCCAGTAATACCACGACCAAACAGAAGACAGGAGTGAAATGGAAGCAATTAGACGAATCTAATGAGTGTGGTCTCCTCTGTCGGATAAGGGTAGGCAACGCATCTGCAACTGCGAATGTCTATGGGCTGTCGCTTCGCCATTTTGGTGGATCATTTGCCACCTTATGTTATAAAAAATATACATTTATTCTTTATAATATTAGTAAAGAATAAGGTAACGAAAAATGTCCACTTGTCAGTCGGATTTACCTTAAATATAATAGTTCTGTGTCCATTCTTACTGAACTCTCTTTCTCCGAAATGCGTAACGCTATTGACGTCATACTTTAAGGGGCGAAGTTCTTGCGGCAACTTGCCATCTTTAGCGAATAACTCCATTGCATCTAAATAAAAACAATATAACAAATAAGCTATGACATGTAGGGTAAGAGCAAACTTTGACTTAACTATCTAACAACTGTTTAGTCGCGCTTTCATCTATACTATTATAATAAAGCGTAAACACACACTTCTTTGTTGCCTAAGATGTCAGCAATTACAACATATTTTTGAATAATCCTTTTTTTAATCAAAAGCCCTACGTCAGGCTTTAGGCTATATATTTTCACGCCATTAAACTTAGAGTGTAAATATTTTGGATAAAAATCCTAATGTGGGAAAGAGACTATAAGTCGCTGTTAACATCAAGGAAGCAAGGTTGTCATCATGTCATGTTTTGACATTTGTAATTTATAATTAGACAAATGAAACAATAAAATAAAGTTCTTATAATTCCATGCGGGTGAAGCCGCACGGGAACAGCTAGTTCCTAACTATAAGCTGAAGGTGTGCACAACTCGATTGTTGTACAACTTAACGGTTGACGCTTCGAAACAATCGACAATAGCACAACACTTGGGCGATAGTTTAATCAAAGTTTGCCGTTCTTACTCAATTGTGGTCAAAATATATAAAAGCATAGAATTGTAATGGAGTACGAATTCAACCCTTGTACATATTTTTTGTAAGCCCGTTTACACACGCGTTAGAACAAAATGCATTTGCCTTTTTTATCTTTCTTTTAACACTACAAAATCAACAAAAAAAAAACAGATTTATACACTAAACGCTAAATAAATGTCATTGGTTGGGTAGTGTTCATACTTCATAATTCAGCGCTTAGCGCTTTTTTATCGCACAGTGCTTGCATTTTGACCGCAGGGCGAATAAAGCAAAATTTTAAAACGTTTCCGAGAAAGCGTTAAAAAGCCGTCCGTGAAAATGGAGGCTAATAGAAGTCATGCGATAAAACATTTTTTTTTTATCTTTTTAAATGCTAATTTTTAATCTATTTAACTTTCTATCTTATCATAATTTATTGATAAAGATATTTATTTATCACTCCGAATAACATTCACGCCTTAATAGGACCCGGATATATTAAATAGTGAACCTAGAAATAGTCCCTACGTCCTAAATGCTAAGTTTTATCACGCTAATCATCACCAGCTCACTATACGTCTCCGCTGTGGGGCTCGGAGCATACCCTAAGTTAGTGAATAAGCCATAGTCAACCACGCTGGCCCACTGCGGGTTGGTTGACTTCACACATATCTTTGAATTTCTTCGCCGATATGTGCAGGTTGCATCAAAGTTAAGTTTGTGTAACTTGTAAGGTTTCTCAGGTCTTAAGGAAATAAATGAAATAAAGAGTCGGCTTTATTTTTTATTACGTTTATTGTAAAACGATAATTACATTATCTACATTGAATAATAGTTATCTAGGTAACTTTTTTTAGGTAATACATTTTTTTTATTTTAACAGTTAAATACAAAACACTATCGAAGTTTGTTAATCGCGAAATTTAAATAAAATCGATTTTAATATTTGAATGCCACTGACTTTTAGTGCAGGGTGTACTTAACTTTAAAAAATATCTAAAATAAGGTAAGTAATATATGACAACATTGCAAAATACACTATAAAAAAATAATAAAAAAATACAACGTATATAAACATGATCCTAATAGATGCTCAAAAATCGATAGAAAAATAAAGTGTAAAAAATAATGATGTTCGCATTTGCTGCTAACAAGCAAGGCTCAGCTAGTAGACCGCTCAGGGCGTCCGACCATATTAATTCCCCAGAAAAGTGCACAATAAGGGCGCCATTAACACCACGCCCAGGGCGCTACTACCGCTAAAACTGTTAACGTTTACAAGAGATCGCATATTTTGCCGAAAACGTGATAATTTTTTTTAAAAATTTCAATATCAGACCGACACAAGTACATTTTCCAAGTTCCTTTATCCTTTCAGCATAACGGACGCCCTGGGAGATTTTTAACTGCACTACAAAGACGCTTGCCGTTCCCTTTTATGCCTCTAACGCCCTTTTATGCCCTGGGCGGTCGAGATACTTCGCCTTACACTACAGCTGGTACTGCTGGTCTTTACAATAAAACTTTATGGGCATGACAAAGTGTCAACACTGGTATCGCTGTTGGCTCTTCAGGAGGTATCCCAGCTGCCCCAGCTATATCTAAATGAGTATACTTTATGTTCTTATCTTCCAAACCTCCAACTTTGATAAGAAAACCTGCTGCTAACTGGTGATTACGACATTTCGCATCCGTATCGTACTGCACAAGATCATCGCCTTTACATTTGCCAACATTCACTGTAAGATCTTCAGGTCTGATTGTTGATACTTCTATACCTTCTGCCATCCTGCCACCGCTGAACTGCAGTCTAGCTGAATGGTTTGTCGCTCTCGCGCTATGGTTATCCATCGCAGCAACATAGTTTCCGTAACAAGCTCTCGCGTGGCCTGTTAAAGTCGCTATTGTGTATAAATGTGGGTTCATTGCATTACCTGCTTCTTCTGACAACTTGAACAACGCATCAGCCATCGCCAGACGCCCTTCCGCATCTGTGTTAGTAACCCTAACTGTCTTCCCACTTCTTGAAACTAATAGCTCATCAGAGACATAAGAATCCGAACCAACAGAATTCCTACAAAGACAAAGTACTCCTATCACTTTCAAATGTGGTGGTTTAAGAATGGAACAGGCTTTTAGAAAACCAGCCACGGCGGCAGCTCCACTTTTGTCTCTTGACATTCCAGCCATTTTACCAGAAATCTTAATATCAGCACCACCTGTGTCATAAGTCACACCTTTTCCAACCAACATCAGAGTTTCAGTCACTCTACTCGAATCGTGGGGTTTGTACTCCAATTCTACAACTCTCGCTTTATGTCTGTCAACGTGATTTGCTGCACGGTTAACAGCAGCTAAAAGAGGATACTCCTGTGCTATTATTTTTTCATCATCTATCACTTTAATGGTGATATTAGTAATTCCAGCGAAGGAGGTTTTAATATATTCCACTATATTTGCGGGCGACATCCTCTCCGGATCACCTCCAGCGATATCTCTAGTCATAATTCTAGATCTTTCTAAAGCTATAGCATTTCTTATTACCCTCTCGAAGTCTTCCGTCTTCTTCTCTTCTGCATACAATCCTAATCTGATAAAATTCTTCGTATCATCCCTTTCTCGCATCTGTAAAGGTATGTAGAACGCTTCTAACGCACCTAGGATGCCGATCAGTTGACCGTCCGGGAAATTTACAACATCCTGTACTACTAATAAGGGTTTTTTCACACCCGCGTCTAATGCTCGTAACATTCCTTTCTTTACCGCATCTTTAATAACACTGGCATCGTGGTATGGTGTGATATTCCCAGTCGGAGCGAGTATTATACGCCCTCCTGAAACGTAATCACAATGCCAAACTGTCGCGACTTTGTGTATATGCTTATCTAATTTACGAATGCCCTCAACAAAACTTCCAATATGTCGCGGCAAAGATATATTCAATTCTTCGGGATACACTATTAGTATAACACCATCGTAATCCGGAGACTGTATGTTCGTTTCTATAAATATATTTTCGTACAATTTATATTGAATTAATGGAGACATGTTTTCGCGCCGAGGTAATAAATGCGACTAAAACGGAACGCGGTAAACACAATGGTTGCTGCATGATTAGGGTTAGTGACGCACGATGACTTGCTCTAAATCGACTTTTTTATTGTACAAACTCGAATCGATCGTATAGTTTTAATCGATTTTATAAACATTATTTCGAGTTACTATAAAACAAAAATTGTTAAGTAAAATAAAAAAAAATATTATTTTTAGTTTTTATAAAACATAACACGAATTAATTCTATTAATATGTCTGAAAAAAATTATAATTATAATGTTATGGATGAACGGCGTATAACCTAAAATTATTTAGTTTTTTTTTATTAAAAATAAGCAAAGGTTATTGATGCATGTTTTTGTATCTGTACACATAATATAGTCTGTTAAATAATTTGCTCCAAAGGTCATCAAAACAAGGTCAGGCAATTTAAAATATCATTGATGCTACGTAACGTTTAGAATGCTACTTTATAAGTAGAAATCAGGTCAAGATTTAATAAAATGTTTCGACAAATATGGTTAACTAACGTAATACAGATTTACTTATACATAACTAGTTATTTACTTCTTGTAATTAATGGCCGGTTTCCAAGCCAAGTTTATCTGTTAATGTTTTTCGTTCGATATATTCAGGAAATGTGTTTCCGAACTACGTTACTTGAGTTTTACTGCGTTCAAACATAGGTCAACCTCTTTTTTTGTTTCGGGGGGAAATCTTAAAAGATACCCTACCTTCTGTGAGGAAGACAGGTTTATGTGAGGTTTGTAACCACTAAAACTCCCTCGGCCAGCTTCTAGTGCAAACATGGTCAACGTAGCAATGAATAGCTAGGTAGTGATCAAATAAGTAAAACTTCGAAAACCCAGCATAAGTTATCTATACTATTATAACAAAGCGTAAACACACACTTCTTTGTTGCCTAAGATGTCAGAAATTACAACATATTTTTTAATAATTCTTTTATTAATAAAAAGCCTTACACTTAGGTCACGCTTTAGGTGATATATTTTAACGCCGTTAAACTTAGGTGGTAAATATTTTGGTTAAAAACCCTAATGTGGGAAAGAGACCATAAGTAGCTGCCAACATCAAGGAAGCAAGATTGCCAAGGTTTGTCATGTCATGTCATTTTGACATTTGCTATTGATATTTTGACAAATGTAAACAATAAAATAAAATTTTCATAATTTCATGCGGATGAAGCAGCACGGGAACAGCTAGTGTCAACACATATGTTAATTATTTACAAGTTGAACTCTTACAATGGCTAAAATTGTTTATTTAGTATAACTTAGAATTTCATGCTTTACACTTAATACGTTTATATAGTTGCCTGATAAATTGGAAGTTCTCATTAAAAAAATGTGAACATAAGAATTGAATTCGGTTTTTAAAAAAAATAAATGAATCCGTTAGAGATGTTATATTTCACGAGTTACTTGAGTTAACCGATATTGAACAATTTGTTTTTGTAACAAATCGATAATTTAAAAAATCGATAAAGCACGCACATCACTATTTAATTTAATTTATCGAAGTTATCGCTCCGTTATCTGTAGTATTTATTAATGCGGTTCATTTACACAAGTAATTTACACATATTATGTTGCAAGCAATACAATGGTCTTATAAATCTTTACATGAGTGTAACTTCATATTGTCTCTAACTTGGGTTTTTCCAACTTAAATATATGAACAGTGGTAGAGCCCGCTTTAACGTGTTCGCACTGCAATAATTTAGTAAATTTTATTTTATTATTAACTACATGTCAATACACGAGACGGCACTATACTTGACAACTAACAGTACCTTTCAAAGAAAGTACCAATGAATATTTTGATCACTGTCTCGTCTATATATTTTAATGTCTGTATAAATGTAATTTGCTTTCCAAATATGTTTGTAGATCAAAGTTAACGCGCAATCCAACCCCCCCCCCCCCCCTCATTAATGAGTGTGCAGTGACTCAAAATCAATTAAAAGACGCAAAGATATGTAAATAACAAGAACTTCTAAAGGTAATATGCGTTTGTAAGCAATACCGTCGTTAGCGAGAGTGGAACAGCGAAGGGCACGGGATATAATAGGTACAGATAGAATATAGATAGGGACATTATATACTAGCTTTCGCCCGCATCTCAGTCCGCGTGGAATTAAAAAAACAAAAGTGAGTATGTGTTCTTCCAGACTATCAACTACGTCTATACCAAATTTCATCGAAACCCGTTGAGCAGTTTAGTCTACAAACTCTAACATCCATCCATCTAAACTTTCGCATTTATAATATTAGTATGAAGTATGATTAGGTTAATAAAACCTATATTATATGAAAAACTAGCTGTTCCCGTGTGGTTTCATCCGCATGAAATTATGAAAATTTTATTTTATTGTTTACATTTGTCAAATGTCAAAAAGCCTCCTTTTTACTAAAAAAAAAAAAGAATTTTGACAGAAGTTGGGAATTTTATGCTTACTGGTAACTCTGAAACTAGCAGGTTTCTGTTAAAAACTGCCATACGATACAATTCTTGCAGGTCCTATAGACGTCGAACGACGCATGTATATAGTTATATTACTAAAAGCGGACGCATACTTTTGACTATAGTGTGTCTAAATAAATTAGATTAGTTTGACAATTCACTTCAAATTTAGTAGGGACGGTTGAGTAAAATCAGTCATAAATCTTATTGATTTTCGATTTTTATTCTTATAGAAGCTGGAATCGATAGATTCATAGTTATAACTTATGAATTAAAAAAACCCCTGTTTTCTCAAATTAATAATGACCATTACAAATAATGAGAGTAAATAAATGTTTATTACTACTACAGCCGTACGTAATCGAATTGGATTTCGCTATTATTTCTGTCATCGCTAAATTCTCTACACTATAATCAATACTAGAATTATCCTCTACATTAGTTAATAAGAAAATAATAATTTTAGTTGAGTTCGATAATTATTTAAACCGAATATCGATAGTTCATAATTGTTAGCTGCGTGTTTCGTCACTACGATACCTGTCTATTAAGTACGTCAGTCTTCATACAAATTGAATTCGATACTTCATGCGTCATTTATCAAACTAATCTATCTTATTTAGACAAACTATAAACTTCGCACAACTGTTGTGCGATTGTCGATTGTTTTGCAGCTAATTCGCTAATTTGCACAATTAAAAATCGAGTAGTGTGTGGACGCTATTAACATAAAGAAACTTACCTGAATCAATGTTTTCCAACTGGACGTCGATATAGATGTCTCTACTGGCGCGGTTATGTTCAAACCCGAAGCCGAGGGCTCTCATTACCATCATCTCTAACTGTGGAGACTTGAGACACGCGTACCCGAGGGTGATCCGCTAAAAAACACTACGGTCTGCGACTTCGTTCGCGAAATTACTAGTAAATAAAAGCCTATACTCAGTAATTAGAGCGTCGGTGTCTCAGTGGTTTGAACACTTGACTTGTAATCTACAGGTCTTGGGTTCGAATCCCGCCGTACCAATGTGATTTTCGATTTTTCTAATTTTCATATGTACATATTTTACCAGACGTTCTTACGGTGAAGGAAAACATCGTGATGCCTGCACATATCGGCGAAGAAATTCAAAAATATGTGTGAAGTCAACCACCCCGCACTTGGCCAGCGTGGTTGTCTATGGCCTAGACACCTCTTATTAGGGTAGGCTCCGAGCCCCTCGGTGGGGACGTATAGTGAGCTGGTGATGATGATGTCGTTTTTATGTTTATTGGTCACAGACAGAAGTAGAAATCTTCCTTTTCTTTACACATAATAAAATTGGAGTGTCTGTTTTTACAATCCCAGAGATTACCCGGAACAAATGCGGCTTGCGGATAGACAGACAGACAGACAAAAATTAAATGCGATTTTTGTTATCAGCAACGCAAATACATCATCTTTTTGAAATCTGGAATTTTTCTTTTCATATTACAAACAGATAACTCTCTCTCTCTCGCTCTTTCTCTCCGGATCGTTTCCTCATTCCTGAGGGTCGCGACCACTCTCGTTGACACTCTCTCGAAGGGTGTTTCTCCACTCTGTGCGATTCTCTGCTACATGTATAGCGACAGACAGATAACAACTCCACTTTTATTACATGTACAGATTTGTTCTAGATTTAGGCTCCTATTTGGTTACTAAATGTTAATTTTATTCCCTTAACTTACATGTGGTTCATTTGTAGAATGTCCTGCAGTATTGAAGATGCATTTTCTGACTCCATTTGGATTTTCAAACAGCATAACGTGCTGTGTCGTAGTCGGTCTTACAAGCACAGGGTTGAATTTCAAACATGTTTTGAATGAGAACAGAGAGAGCGACGTCATAATAGATAGAGACTGCTCATGATCTGAGGAGATGTATAAAATTAAATTAGTTTTTAACTTGAATTCTAGAGTAGTGTTTTAGGTAGAGAAGGGTTCATACTTATTTGGTTTTTATGACGAAAAATTTCTTAGGATATCCTATAAAAAGAAGTGAGATCCCACAAAAAATATAATAAAAAAAAAACCTCTTTATTGCCATCCAAGAATACACAGAGTTGTACAAAATTCAAAACATACATGAAAAAATTATAACAGATGGCAAAGGGGGGAGGCTCAGCTTAACCGATACTGGTTGAGATCCTGTGTCGAGCTGGTTTTCAGCCACCCCCCCCCTTCCCAATATAAAATATAAAAAACTGCCGACTCTCACTTCCCCTACAAAATCCCCTTCTAATCCTTCCTATCTTATAAATACGAGAAGGGGACTATTATTTTCGTAATTCCTTGTGTACAAGGTGTACCTTTCTTCTTAAAATACTTACCATAATGTTCTGGGTCGATGTAGAAAGGTATGGAAGCATTAGGCCAATATACGAGATCTTCTTTCTTGACAACTGGGAACAAATCACTTTGATGTAACTTAATTGACTTTAGGATTTTGGGTGAAAAGTGGAATAAACATTTTAGATTGTCTCAATTTATTAATGTTACCCATAAAGGCTACTTTTTTATATTATTAAGGTGGTAAACGAGCAAGCCACCTGAAGTGACAGCACATAGACATCCGTTACAGATGTTTCCCCTTCCTGTGCATCTCCTCCAACGTCAAATCTACTGTTCCTTTCCATCTTTTCCTGTTAAGATAGGTGGAAAGAAAAAGGGACTAAAATTAGGCCTCCAGCACCACACTCATCAGATTGTACGTGAAATTGCTTCCACTTCACGCCTGTCTACTGTGTCGTCATGGTATATCTCCGGGCGAGCTCTATAGTGCGAAGATGCAGACTTTACCACTGTTATAAGCTTTTAAGTAAATTTATACTGCACAGCTTTTACAAATAAGGTTTTTTTTTATTTAATATGGTGTAAATTTTTGTAGATAAGATTTAATGGATTACATAAAAATCAGATTTAAAAGATATGCATTAACATAAGCATTAATCATCATTTGTAATTTAATTATTTATTATTACCGTTACTGTCTACAGTATTTCCGGTGTCCGCGTAAATAACATTTATAAAATACAAAGCCACCAATAAAATGTTGTGCAACATTTTTGCTGCAACACTGACTAAATTAAAAAGAAATGCAATGCATTTTATAGTTATATTTTATTGCTTGAATAACAGAATCAATTCCATAAATGTGTAACATGGTTCTAATTTGTTTCATGTTTTTATAGCTATAAACTTGAACTATTGTTGAATACGTTTGCTTCCTAAAAGCTTATTAGGTTTTTTTAAGATTTCAACATAAAAGCCTTGTTTAAAAGCTTACTTGATTTTAATAGATTTTTTTTATCATAAATGGCAACCATAATTTTATTTTGGTTTGGGGAAGTTGCTCCTCTTTTTACTCTTTGGTAAATTTTAACTTACTCTTTGACTTTTAGGTTTGTCTTTGACAGTTGTCTTTGATCAACATAACCTAAAAATGGCAGACTGAAATTGATTTATATTTATAAAATCAATTTTAAAAGCAAACATGAGTGTGTTTATCAAATATAATAAACCGGGTAGTCTCGGTACTATATTCAACGTGCAAGTATTATGGCGGTTTAACTCGACAACAGCGGAAACGTCGAGAAAGGAAGACGATGAAGAATTCCGTGTACTCGATATCTTGAAGAAAAGAGATCGACAGCAAAAAAGAACACCTCGAAAAGCTGACGTACAACCTGATCGTGCGGACAGAATGTCCACTGACCAGGTGAGACATCAATTAATATAGTTTTACCTGACTAACAAGAGTTTTGTATGTTTCGATGCTAGTCCATTTCGTAGTCATTTAGGTCCACTCTCCATCAACTTACCCCTACGAAGGGTCGCCACATTGTGTGCTGCTCTTCCATACATTTCTATCAGCCGTCATATCTGAGTCCACTCTCATAAGCATATCCTCTTTCATACAATCCATCCATACATACTCTCTTTGGTCTTCCTCCACCTTTGTAGCCATTCAATATGCATTACATCTAAAAACTTTTTGGTTTGTATCCTCATCCTCTTGTCGCATTACATGTCCATACCACACTAACCTGATGTAAACCCATGCCAGATCGGATATACATACTGGCACGCACAAATAAGCTGCAAGAGTCCCAGCCACTCTTTTGACTATCAAAGCCCACCACAAAACACTCCTCGAAACCCGCCTTGTATGCCTTTTCAAGGTCTGAGAAGGCCATGTGCAGCTTTTGAGCTATCTATACTAATATTATAAAGAGGAAAGATTTGTATTTTTGTATGTACTGGAATTAGTCAAAAACTACTGGGACCATTTCAAAACTTCATTCACCATTACAAAGTTATGTTATTAATGAGTAACACAGACCACATTTTTAACTTTTTAATTAGTTGCCGATGAACTTGTGATCCACAACTAATCTATATTTCACTTTGGGAACAATTTAATATAACTCAAATCATTATTTTGCTTCCAGAATTGGAGCAACGTCTGGCCGGGGCCTAAAACCTTCCATCCTTCATCTGTACCATTGCCACTCCGACAAGGCTATGTACCCAAAGGTCAGGCACCACCAGGCAAGAAAGCCAATGCTGAGCTAATGAAGATACCCAACTTCCTGCATCTAACTCCACCAGCGATCAAAACACAATGCGAAGCTATCAAGAAGTATTGTACAGAATGGCCAAAGTTACTCAATTCCGAAGAAGCTATAGACAAACATTATCCTATTGAAGTGATTTCTTCAGACTACTGTCACGCTAGCCCTACAATACGCAATCCTTTAGCCAGAGTTGTGAATTTACGAGTGAAATTGTCAACTTTGAACTTAGATAACCATGCTAAGGATAAATTTCTAAGATTAGTAGGCGATTGTTACGATGAGAAGACAGATTTTGTCATTTTCGTAGCAGATAGATGTCCGATGAGGAAACAGAATTTGGATTATGTGAATTATTTACTCACCGCATGCTATCATGAGTCTTGGAATACCGAAGAATGGGAGAAAGAGAAATGCGAAGAAGATATGGAATATTATGATTGGGATAATAATGCGTCTAAGAAGAGTTTAGTAAATTGGCATTTAGGTTGTAATAATGAACAAATAAGTCTTACAGATGAGGAATATAAGAATTATGATATAACGAAGGTTCCGAATGCAAATACTTATAAAACAGCAGTCTCCAGTTTGATGAATGATGGAGAAAGTGAAGATACAGTTAAGAATTATGGCTCAGCTGTAAGAAAACTGCTCGGTTTACCAGAAAAGTTTACACAATGTTAATAATTTATAATAAATGTAGTTTGTATATAGTTTATTTATTTTTTATAGTGTACAGAGACATTTAACTCCTATCCAATACTCAGTATTACCCAACAAAGAGGATAACTCAGAGATTAAAAATATATATTATTCGCACTTCACTTACTTTACAACAAATTTAAAGCCTTTCTTAGAAGTTACTAGTGAAAAAAATGATGTTCCCTATGTCAAGTCTATATATTTGTTTAATATCTTTGGGTTAACATATTATAGTAGAGGAAGAGTTCTAATCTCTTCAACAATTCCATTGAATTTCAAATTTTGTTCTAAAACACGAGAGTAACTAGCTTCCGCCTGCGTGAAATTAAAATCAAAAGTAAGTACTCTGTGTTCTGCCAGAATATTCTCTACATCTATACCAAATTTCATAGTAATCCATTCAGCCGTTTAGGCTACACACTCATCATACAAAACAAACATACATCCATCCAAACTTTCGCATTTACATTAGTATGAAGTTTGACTGCAGTTGTTTTATGGAAAAATGTAATCTTTGTTTCATAACACTGCCAATAGATGGCAATAACTGATGTTAACAGTGGTAGAGCCCGCTTTAACTTCTTCGCATTGTAAGGCCGGCTCGCCTCAGCAATACCACGACCACACAGAAAACAAGTGGGAGCAATTCCGCGTTTCGTCTTATGAGTGTAATACCGGAGACCTCATTTTAGTCAGTTTTCCTTTCCAACCTTTTAAGAGAAGAGGATGGAAAGGAAAAGTGGATTTGACGGTGGAGGTGACGTATGTGAAGGGGAAATGTCCTCTTTATGTGCGTCTCCTCCGTCAATGACGGGTAGGTAGCGCATCTGCAATATTGGATGTTTTTGGGCAACGGCCGCTCTCCATTTCAGTGGATTCAGGTGGCAGGTTGCTCGTTTGCCACCTTATATAATAAAAAAAAACTCCACAGAAATATGATGCTCTTGAAGCATTTAGGTTAAAAGTTTTTCCTTTAAAAATTAGATTATAACCTAGGTCATTGGCTGGCGACGCCCTTAGAGATATCAAGACGATGAAATAAAACAAACCAATTGTTTTTTTATTATTAATTTATTAATCAATATAATATGTATATAATATATAACTTACAGCCTTAAATGGCGTCGAATCGACAGCGAAACCTGAAGTTCGGTTCGGGAGACACGAGCTCTCGTTATTTCACACTTACCAACGCAACCGACCGACGCCCAGCAAGCTTACAAAACATATTTTCTTAATTTTTATTCCAAAAAGTACACCTATATTATTCCCTACATTATACTACTTCGAACTATATTACAACAACCAAATTTTTTATAATCATTTTTATAGTCCAAAATCAAAATGATCAAAAACTTACAGAATATACTAAGCAAATATAAAGGGATTTTACAGAGATATCTCTTATTCAATTCATCTAGTATACACTGTAAGTAAATTGGAAAATACACATTCCATATTTTTTACACCACTTATAAAATAATAGCAAGGTAATTTTTTTTGTTACATTTTTCAATTTATACAGTAAGTCTACATATTACGTTCCTTTTAGCACAATATCGTCACTCCTTTGGCGTACTTTCGAAAAAAAAAAAATTGCAACAAATGACGTAACTTAAAAAAACTTAACAATACCTCTTCATATCTTGCACTGCTGCGTATTACATGAAAAGGAAACATTTTTAAATGTCAAAATTAGCTGCAAGCCTTTGCCTTTTTTTTTATTTGTCTAAAACAAACAATCAAAAATTTTTATTACTTATTAACAATGAATTCTACGCTAATTTAGCATATACAATTCAAATCTATGTTATATACAAATATTTCATATTTTATTACCATAAAAATCTAAATGACATTACAAATGTCCGATGTTATAAGCATTTGCCTTTTCTAATTTTTTTTCCCGCCTAAACATATCTTGTCAAAGTTACAATTAATCATAACCTTATTTATATTAAAATGAAAACGAATTTAGCATATTAACTTACTTAATTTACTTTGTAAATCAAATAACAAGAGAAAAATGGACTGAATTGGTAAAAGAAATGAAATTTTTCTATATTCCGAGATCTAGAAATGACTTTCGACTAACGACTTACTTTATTTACAACTAAAGGCTGAATATACAATTTCGAAGAGGTTAATCTAATTTTTAGTTTTTTTTTTACATATTTAAGGACAAAAACCTAGTGCGCGGTAACATAAAGACTGGTAGAGTATTAGTTTTTTTTTATATAACAACGCAGCAGTACTAGAACAAGCTCTCGTTCGCTTCCTTGTCACACGATCAGAGACACTCAACATTTTTCAACTGTATAAAATTAAATATGTCAATACGGGACGGTCCAAAATATTACTAAATCTGATTTTTATATTGACACAGAAATCATCAATAAAATAATTTTTTTAAAAGCTTTTTTTATGAGAGAGAAATCATAGACAATTGCAATAAGGATGCGAATGAACCTACCTTGAGTGTAGAGAAAAAAGAATATTGTCCTTTCCCATACTTATTCCCATCCCATAAGTATTTAGCTTTTATGTATACTAGACATTATTTCATCTATTTTACATAAAATGATGTAGACATCTAATCTTTGACATTTTCATCAATTAATATTCTCTGCAACTTCTAAGAGGTTCTTTCGATAGGAATGTTAGGTAAATAACTAGGGGACTAAATAAAAGGACATTTTAAGTAGTTTATTTATGTTTTTTTTTTCTAAATAACCTCTTATTTAATCATTATTTATGAATAATTGTGTTCTTATATCGTTTTATTTAAATTTCAAAGATTAACGCGACATCGATTTGTAGACTTCAATACACGGCGTTAATTTCTCATTTTGTTAAAATTGATCAATTCCTGTGTCAATTACACGAAACCCATTAAATGTTTTATTAAAATAATAATAGGAACTATTTTTTACACGCAAAGTGAAAGAAGCGACGTTAGCTGTATCAAGAGATGTTTTTATAACCTAGAAGTTATGAAATAAGGCAACGCGTGCGACGCGTCATTCCCAGTGTTGCCATTAAAAATGTGCGAATTCAGTAACTATTATAGGAGTTTTAGTAGAAAAAACGCGTCGCAACACGTTATATAATTAAAAAAGCATCCTTACATACTAAGAAAATAAAAGAACCATTTCAACACACACTTAAATTTTTCGTTTTTTTTTCCGTAGTTATAATTATTATTATTTAGTGCAATATACAGTTTTTATTATATAATTACGTTTAATCGATATCGATGTTTCTCGATTGGTATCGAATATCGATTTTGCTCATGTCAGTACGTTTTTAATCTGCATAAAATTATACCATTGAGCAAGTTAGTGATGTCAAAACGAATGGATTTGCGTTTAGCGTATTACATTTATTAAAAAAATGCATTAAAAAGTTACCATGATAAGTTTTTTTACAATCAAAACTCCGTAGCAGGTATTTGTTGATAAATTATTAAAAAAAAACAAGAAAAACAATTGCTATAATATTGTTGAAGGAGTCACAAAAAGTACATTTATAACATAAATTGTGAATGAAAAACATTTAAAAGGGTAGGAGTATTACCAAATATTACCAAAATCAACTATTTTCCTCAGTTCTAGTAATTAAACATTTCATTCATACATTTTAACGTTAGAATTGCAGAAAAGTGACACTTGTATACATATTGTATACATTTTAATTCTCTGACATAAAACTGAAATATGTAATACAAGTGTCAATTGTAAAGTGTATTCTACAGTTTAGAAATCACCTTTACTGTTTTATACAATACGCTAAACGCTACAACCATAAAACCTTAATTAAAATCTTCAAACATCTTAATATTTCGTAAAGATCGTGGACTGGCAACACCACATGTAGACATTTATAAAAAAATCCGTTCAAATCACCTACATCTTGCATTTGTGCTGTTAAATTAATGAGTGGATATTTTGAAAAATTAGCTAAACGAAGAAAAAACATCACAATTTCTTGACACGTTTAACTTCGTTCTATATAATATTAAAAAAACATGCCTTTAATGTGTGTATCTTTTACTATCACTTGTTTTGAAACATAATGTTGTCTCTTTTCATCATATTGAATGAAAAAGACAGTAATATGTTTTTTTCCCAGTCTACGATCTTTAAGCATTGTGTGCAAGTCACTATAGAGCTGTGTTGACACTTGTATACACTTTCAATCTCTGATACAATAATACAAGTGTCAATGTATACTACAGTTATTTGGCAGTCAATGTGAAAAGCCATACAAGGAATAGTCTTATTAAATATTGCTTGTCCGTGCGTTTGTAAGCTTATTATAGTACGAAAAATTTATTTGACCCGATTGTCCTATTGCGGTTGTCACAAAATACGACACAAGACAATTTAAAACAATGTCGGGTGCTAATAATTTTTTGTATTATCACCGGGTCAGATAATTTCATCTGACTATTTGCTTAAAAGCGTTACATAAGAGCTTATAAACAGCGGAAAACCATTTAAAATCTACCAAACACTCGGTACAGTCTTCATTTCACATCAAAATGTCTCGAATAATATCGTTTCGTCTAATTCAAAATATATCAACATCTATACATAGTTATGTCGGAACTAGAGACCGACGGTGCGAGCGGGACGCATATAACTATCCAGCACGTGCGAGCGAGATGGAATATCTTTAAGATTTTGATACAGCGCCATCTATGTGCTGAGACAGCTTTTCCCTTTAACTTCAATTCCTTTACGGCCTCGAAACTCACAAATCGCACGAAACTTACACAAAAAGAAAACCAAATACATCAAGAATTAAATACTAGATTTATAATTAGAGAAAAAAAGGGGAAAACAAAAATTCATTACTAGTGCGTTTTAAACTTGCCTGAACAAACTGACGTCAAATGGCGTTTAATATCGCCTTATATTATTGTCTTAGAAGTTAACCTGGAAAGAAAAAACACTGTTAAAATTCATACTTTATTTTCAATTATTTACTAGCTTCTGCCCGCGACTCTGTACGCGTGGAAATAAAAAAAACTAAGCAGCTTATGTATTTTTCTGGACTACCCTCTACATCTATTAAAGCGCCAATAGCCTTATCTTGCGGTCGAGAGTTCGAATCCCGCCATTTCGACTCTGAACCATATCCTAGAGCTTAATTGGAATTTAAAGCCTAAAGCGTGACGTTAGTGTAGGGCTTTTTATTATAAAAATAATTATTCAAAAATATGGTGTAATTGCTGACATCTTAGGCAACAAAGAAGTGTGTGTTTACGGTTTATTATAATAGTATAGATAAATAAAAACAGTATAGTGACTTACCCAGGTTTTTCCTGTAGTACAATCCGTGCCCCATCAGATATCTTGTAACCGAGTCATACAGACTACCATACAGACTACACTATATATTATATTAAAAACAAACAAAACCGTCCGGGCACTATAAGAATATCAGTTCATATCTATATTTATATATAAAATGCAATATATTTATTTATCAATGCGTTTTCCCGAGCGACTTCATCTGAGTTGGGGCGTTGTCGGATTTCGTGTTCACTGCTGGAAACAAACAAACAAACAAAACATGAAACACTCATATAGACATTAACACAAAATAAACAAAATCTTACTAATATTAATTTGAAAGTTTTGACGAATGTTTGCAGAAGTTTGTTTTCTAAACTGATCTTGATAGAATTCCATAAATAATTTTTCATTTCAGTTATATTCCACTATACATATATACTAGGGTTGTAACGGAGGCCATTATAACGGAAGCGGATGCGGAGGCGAAGGGCTTCACTTCTGCAGAAACGGAGGTTAACGGAAGCGGAAGCAGAGGTCAATAATAAAATAGTAATAACGATTTATTAAAAAAAAACTAAAACTACGTTAATTCAAAATACAGATTGATACATAATTACAAGATATACTTTAATATTCAAATATAATGTATAACAATTATAGTTAGTTAGACGTCCGCGGGGGCATAAGATACACCTAATCGCCCCAATCGCGTTAATGACGTAAATTAACCTCCGTTATATCTCCACATAAGAAATAACGGAAGCGGAGTTCCGTTACAACTCTAACATATACTATGTTTTTTAATTGTAAATAGGTATACATTTTAAAATGTATTTTATTTTATATTGGAACTGTAAATGTTGAATTTTTAATAAAATAAAGTAAACAAAGTCCTTGGATTCACCACGACAGGGGGAGAACGAGGAGGCGGCAAGAGGCCGCCCAAAAAAAAACTATGACCAAACTCTAGTCACCCTTACTTAGGGTAGGCTGTGAGCCACTCAGTGGGGGTATAGTGATGATGATGACGATATATATAAATTAAGAATATGGGAATAAAGTATGTAGAAGTAATATAACTTACGCCTCGGCCTAGCATTAGCGACAACACTCTGCGCGCCGCACGAGCCCGCGCGCCCGCGGCTGCCGGCGCCCGACGCGCTGGCGCCGCGGCTGCAACACGACACACATGTAGTCAACGTAAATAACACATGCTGGGTTTCTGAACTTTACATTTATTGACTTTTTTATAATATAATGTGGCAAACAAGCAAGCGGCCTGAATCCACCGAAATGGAAAGCGACCGCTGCACATAGACAACCGTAATAGGGAACATGCATGATTTTTTTTCTTATTTTAAACGATTCTACTGGTTATAAAATAACCATAAAAAATTGACTCGAAAATATTTGAGCTAGAAATAATAAAATAAAATTACGATAATTTTCGTACGACTAATACGCATCCGGAGTTAGCATAAGACACGTGACGTCAATTGTCATATTTTATGCATTCCATTCATCACATTTGCACAGATGTTACTTCGATGTAAAAAACAACAAAGTATCTTATTGCTTCTCAGTTATCAAAAGTCAAATATCGATTCATTTTTATTGTTTTTATTTATTTATTACATTTATATACTTTTCATTAGAAATTCGGAATCTTGTATCGGTAGATTTCTATTATTACGTAATTACTACAAAGTTAATAATTTTGGAAATAGTTTAAACTTTCGTGAGACATTTTATAATTATTTTACGGCTTACTCACTCACTCACTTATTAACCCTCGCCCTGAAGGACCCCCGTATGGTCTGAAACCGGTCGGTGCCGTCACCGGGAAAAAGTATGACGTAAGCCGTAAAATAATAAATTTTGGTTTAAAAAAACAGGTCGAACGTAAGTTTTAAAAGCTACTTTGTATAAATTTACCTGAAAGTGGCTATAGGAGTAGCGTTAGCGTGTACGCGGTCGCTCTCGGAGACGGAGCGCGTGCGGTCGTAGGGGCGCGCGTGCGGGCCGCGGCCCGGCGCGTGCGGACCTCGGGTCGCCAGTAACTCGTTCAACTGCGGCTGAAACGTTCAAACATATACTTTACTAATGAAATAATTTATTTAATCATACTAATATTATAAATGCGAAAGTTTAGATGGAAGGATAAATGTTTGTTAGAGTTTGTAGTCTAAACAGCTGAATGGATCTCGATGAAATTTGGCACAGATGTAAAAAACAGTCTGGAAGAACACATAGGCTACTGTTTTTTTTTTAATACACGCGGATGAAGTCGCCGGAGACAGCTAGTCTACAAATAAAACGAGCTTTCGCCCGCGACTCCGTCCGCGTGGAATTTAAAAAAAAGTGAGTAGCCTATGTGTTCGAGATCCGTTCAGCCGTTTGGGCTACAAACTCGAATAAACATCCATCCATCTAAACTTTCGCATTTATAATATCAGTAAGAAGTAAGATTGGTTTGTCTGTATGTGATACTAAAAAAAAATCCAGATATCGGTAAGATGATGTACAATAGAACCTCGATAAGTTAAATAAGCCAAGGGAAATACGAAATAATTTAAGTTATAGAGTTTTTAAGTTATCAAGTCTATGTTATAGAGGTTTTGGGCTCTGATGGTAAGGGAACATATTATTTTTTGAAGTTATAGAGGTTTTCATGTTACCGAGGTTTGAGTTATCGAGGTTCTGCTGTATTTGCGTTGCTGATAAATCGCATTTAAAAAACTCTTTGTCTGTCTGTCCACAAGCCGCGTTTGTTCTGGGCAATCTCCGAAAAGATGCACGCGGAATTGTTACAGACGACCATTTTTTTTAAATTCCAAGCTAACGAAGTTTGCAGTCGACAGTCTTACTAATATAAATGTGAAAGTTTAGATGTATGTTAGAGTTTTTACCCTAAACTGTTAAAAAATCTTGATGAAATTTGTCACAGGTGTAGACATAGACTACTTACTTTTGTTTTATTAATTCCACACGGACGGAATCGCGGGCGACAACTAGTATTAATGCAAAATTTGCATGTTTGAATGTTTCTTACTACGTATCTCCAAAACAGTTCAACGAATTTGAATAAAATTTGTCACAAAACATTCTGGTTTTTGTCCCCTTTTTTCCCACTCTTTTATTATAAGTAAATGACGTAAAAAATGTAAATTTGCCAGGAAAAAATGCTTAGAAAATGGCGATATGAGAGAGATTAAAGGTATCGCCTTCGCTATTTTAGCGAATTTTTACCACATTATGGTACAAAAGACACTATCTTACCTCCAAAACACGGAAATCTTCAATAGATTTGAATTTAGCGAGGAATCCGTCCAGTTTGGGGTCGACGCAGAGCGCGCCCGCGTGCTTGTAGTACTTCAGGAACGCCCAGAACTTCTCCAGACCGTACAGCTGACCTGAAATGACATATACGAGAAAATTATATATATGTATGTATTTTTAAGAAAATTGCACAAACTATTAAACCATTATAATTCAAAATAAAATATTTTAATATTATGTTTTCGTATAAATAAAATAAAATATAACGTGTAAAGGAAAACGCCGCAGGCGCCTAAATTGTAAAAAAAAGATATAAATTTTTTTTTAATAGGACAATATTAAAGCCGTCTCCGCCTCCCTCTTAGACTTAGCTTGGATCTAATTACTAGTCAAAACACTTATTTATTATAAAAAAATAACAATGTGGTATATCCTTGTAGATCTATAGTTAGTCTATCTATACTAATATTATAAAGAGGAAAGATTTGTATTTTTGTATATATTTAAATAACTCATAAAGTATTCGGCCGATTTCAAAAATTATAACAACATTTAAAAGCTACATTGTCACTGAGTAACAGGCTATATTTTATTTTATTTATAACTTGCTGTTCCCGTGCGGCTTTCTCCATGAAATTATGATTTTTTTTCACATTGTTTACATTTGTCAAATTCTCAATTGCAAATGTCAAAATGCCGTGACAAACCATTGCAGTCTTATTCCCTTGATGTTGGCAGCTTGTACCTTATGGTCCCTTTCCGACATTAGGGTTTTTAACCAATTTAGCCAGAAAATATAGCCTGAAGCGTGACGCAATTTTTACTAAAGAAAGATCAAAAATATGCTACCATAAGTATAGAAGTATAGATTCCAGTTAGTAAATAAATATAAAATAGTAACCATTTTCATAATCAGCGATAGTCTCGTGCTGGAAGTGCTGGTAGAGCTCGGGGCGGAACTTGCGCTCCAGCCCGTACGAGTAGAAGCGGAAGAGGCACTCCAGCCCGTAGCGGAAACCTGCCGCCGCGTCCTCGTTCGCTAACGTCCTGCTCACAAAATCATAATAATATTAGAAATGCGAAACTTTAGATGGATGGATGTTTGTAGCACTGCTGAACGGTATTTGATGAAATTTGGTATATATATAGAGGAGTTTGAGAGAGAAACGTACTCTTAGAGACTCCGTTAAGGTAGTTTTAGAAAGAAATGGACTCTTAGACTCCGTTAAGGTAGTTTTAGAAAGAAATGGACTCTTAGACTCCGTTAAGGTAGTTTTAGGTAGAAATGTACTCTAAGAGACTCTGTTAAGGTAGTTTTAGAAAGAAATGTATTCTTAGAGACTCCGTTAAGGTAGTTTTAGAAAGAAATGGACTCTTAGAGACTCCGTTGAGGTAGTTTTAGAAAGAAACGTACTCTTAGAGACTCTGTTAAGGTAGTTTTAGAGAGAAATATACTCTAGAGAGACTCTATGAGAGTAGTTTTAGAGAGAAATTTACTCTTAGATAAGGTAGTCTTAGAAAGAAATGGACTCTTAGAGACTCCGTTGAGGTAGTTTTAGAAAGAAACGTACTCTTAGAGACTCCGTTAAGGTAGTTTTAGAAAGAAAAGTACTCTAAGAGACTTTGTTATGGTAGTTTTAGAAAGAAACGTACTCTTAGAGACTTCGATAAAGTAGTTTTAGAGAGAAATGTACTCTAGAGAGACTCTATGAGAGTAGTTTTAGAGAGAAATTTACTCTTAGATAAGGTTGTTTTAGGGAGAAACGTATTCTCAGAAACTCCGAAAACAATTTTAGAGATAAATATATTCTTAGACTGCATTACAGTAATTTTAGTTATACCCCTTATAATATGACTAAACAAATCTAAAATATATTAATATGTTCTGTTACTTTGCCTAGAAGGGCAGATAATATGATATACGCAAATTACCCTCCTAGTAGGGCAAATATTTACCTGAATTCATTGTACATAGTCCTGTTGAAATGATCTCGTAAGAAGAAGGACCAGAATCTGAACAAAGTGTTCATCTCCTGCGACTGGCCGATGCCCAACTTCTTGCGTTCTGAAAAATACATAAATTAAAATAAGCTATACATATAATAAAATTGGAGTGTCTGTAATATCAATAGAAAAATTCTAGATTTCAGGCAGATGATATATTTGCGTTGATAATAACGAAAATTATTTTGTCTGTCTGTCTGTCCGCAAGCCGCGTTTGTTCCGAGTAATCTCCGAAACGTCTGAACTGATTTCGACTTGCCTTCATACAGATAGAATTGGATACTTCATATGCATCATTTATCAAACTAATCAATATTATTTAGACAAACTAATATGTACCTTTCAAGCACCTGGAGTGGTACTTATGGTAAGCCTGCTGTGTGAAGTGGTTCTCTCGCAGCAGACCGTGGCTGGGGTGATGGAAGGCCGGCAGCGCTTGTGGTACTGAACCACATGACGAACCCAATGTAGGGGAAGTACCCAACGACGACCTGGAATGGTTACGATTAAAAAGTATGGATATAAAAAAAATCTTCAGCTCATTTTGCTAATTCTAAACGCTTTCACATTAAAAAATCATTTTATTTTAACAACACAAATATCTTACTATTACTCAATCTATCTTACTAATATTATAAATGCGAAAGTTTAGATGGATGGATGTTTGTTACAGTTTGTAGCCTAAACGACTGAACGGATCTCTATGAAATAGCACAGACGTAGAGTATGGTCTGGGAGAACACATAGGCTACTTAGTTTTTTTTTTAAATTCCACACGGACGGACTCGCTGGCGAAAGCTAGTACTATTATAAAGAGGAAAGATGTGTTATTTTGGTATTGTAATAACTCAAAAACTACTGTGCCGTTTTATAACTCTTTTATCATTAAAAAGATACGTTATCTGTGAATAACTAAAGGCTAAATTTATACATTTCACGTGAACGTGATATAAAATAATATTTAATTTAACTTCTAACTAATATTATAAATGTGAAAATATAGAGTGATTTATGGATATGTGTTAGTTGGTAGCCTAAACTGCTGAACGGATGTTGCCCGCGACTTCACCCGCGTGGTATTACAAAACATACGAATTATATAAATAACAAAAAGCTACTTATACCGGGAACCGGACATTTCTCGGGGATGAACCTTACCCCATATTTACTCCAAACTTTGTTTTCTATCTGTGCCAAATTTCAATAAGATATGTTGAACCGTTGCAGAATGATCGAGTAAACATTAAAAAACTAAATTAATGAATCCCACGGAAACCGTAACTATTCCCGGGATGAAAAGTAGCCTATGTGTTCTTCCAGACTATGCTCTTAACCTGTGCCAAATTTCATGGAGATGCGTTCAGCCATTTATGCTACAAACGCTAACGGACATTCATCCATCCATCGTAACTTTCGCATTTATAATATTTATATGATTATATGACATGATGTAGAGGACAGTCTGGAAGAACACATAGACTAAAATTTTTTTTTTATTTCAAGCGAATTGAAGTCGCGGTAGAAAGCTAGTATGTATATAAGTAAATAAGGATCTTTAATAGCAGGTAAAAATTGAACACTAATACTCAGTTTCTGAAGTTTACATTTATTACATCACTAGGTTTTCCCCGCTACTCCGTCCGCGTGAATTAAAAGAAACAAAGGAAGTAGCCTATATCTTCTTCCAGATTATGCTCCACATCTATGCCAAATTTCATCGAGATCCGTTCAGCAGTTTAGGCTACAAACTGTAACATCCATCCATCTAAACTTACGCATTTATATAAGTAAAATTATATAGTGATTTAGTGTTATATTGGCAGTTTCAATGGAGTAAAAAATAAAACTCATGTTACGTAGTTCAGAAACAATTTCATAAAGTTACCGAACGAATAACACTAAGATATGGTTAAAATTAACCAGGAAACCGGGTATAAGACTCACCCGGTGCTGTGTGTGCGTACGCGGTGCTCGCGCACATCCATGATCCAGCCGACATGATGCTCCACGGGAGGGTTCAGGCTGTGTCGGGTCTTGTGTTTGCGGCCGCTTCTGTTAAACAATAAGAGTAATCTATACTATTATAATAAAGCGGAAACACACACTTCTTTGTTGCCCAAGATGTCAGCAATTACAGGATATTTTTGAATAATTATTTTTTTTAATAAAAAAAACCCTACACTTACGTCAAGCTTTAGGCTATATATTTTCATGCATTTAAACTCAGGGGGTTAATAAATTGGTTAAAAACCCTAATGCGGGAAAGGGAACATAAGCTACACAATCAAAATGCAGAATTACTTCCACTTTAAGATTGTATGTATATTATTTTATATATGTTCATTGTCCACTATATTTTTTTTTATAATACAAGGTAGCAAACAAGCAAGCGGCCTGAATCCATCAAAATGGAAAGTGACCGCTGCACATAAACATCTGCAATTGCAGCGCTGCCTACCCTTCATGGACGGAGACGCACATAAAGGGGACATTTCCCCTTACTGTGCGTTTCCACCGTCAAATCCGCTTTTCCTTCCCATCCTAACCTCTTAAGAAAAGGGAATAAAATGAGTCCTCCGGCAGCACACTGATCAGTAGGCGGAATATCTTCCACTTGACGATGTCTGAGGTCGTGGTATTGCTGAGAGCCTGCACTGCCGACATGTTAGAGCGGCCTCTACCACTGTCATACTCACATGACGTCAGTCGCGTGCGGGTCCTTACTGGCGGCGTAGAACCTCGCGGTACGACGAGGACGCTTCTTATCCGGCTGCTCTTGGTCCATCTGGAACATTATACATAATTATATAATACTAGTTTTCTTCGCGATTATGTCCGCGTAGAATTAAACAAAAGTGAGTATTCTATGTCTTCCAGATTATCCTCTACATCTATATTAAATTTTATTGAAATCTGTTCAGCAGTTTAGGCTACAAACTCTAACAAACATCCATCTAACCTTTCACATTTATAATATTCGTACGATTACTAGTTGGTGCTCACGACTTCGTCCATGAGGAAGAAATAGCCTATGTTACACAGTGATAACGTAGCTTTTTATGATGAAATTTTAAAATCGGCCTAGTAGTTTTTGAGTTATTTCAAATTATACAAAAATACAAATAAACAAATCTACCCTTTTTTATAATATTTCGTATAAATTTTAACATATAATAATATAATAAAGTGTAAACATACACTACTTTGTGGCGTAGGATGTCAGCAATTACAACATATTTTTGAATAATACTTTTTTTTGATAAAAACGCCTACACTTACAACACGCTTTAGGCCATATATTTACACCCTATCACACTTAGAGGGTAAATAAATTAGAAAAAACCAAGCGTGTACGGTACAAAAACTACAAGCTAACAAGCAAGGTTGTCATGGTAATGGTAATTATCCAAGATATTTGTGCATTTGAATTTTGACAGTTGAGAATTTCACAAATCATACTAATATAAATGCGAAAACGATAGATATTTGTTAGAGTTTGTAATCTAAAGTGAATAGATTCCGATAAAATTAGGTGTAGAGAATTGCCTGTAAGAACATATAGGCTATGTAAACAAATAAGGTAGTACATGTGCTGCGACCTGGGGGTGCTGCGGGGGCTGCAGCGGCTGCGGCGGCGGCGGCGGGGGCTCCTTAGGGTTGGTGTGTCGCTTGCTGGGCACCGTCTCCTCGAACTGCGAGCGGCTGATGAGCGACACCGTGCGGTACTGGCTGCCGCTGCCACACGACTGCAACATTTGTATCATCATCAACTTGCCCTTATCCCTTAGGAAGGGTCGGCACATTATGTGCTCTTCCATACATCTCTGTCAGCCATATCTGAATCCACTCCACATCCTCTTTCACACAAACCATTCATACTTTCTTAACACTTTCTGATTTATGTCCCCATCGTCTCTTCGCATGTGTCCATACCACGCTAACCTTTTGCTTCTCATATGTCATCTTATAAAAAATACGTGGTAATTTACACATTCATCCAAATGTTGCAGTCAAAAGTTGATTGCATGTGAGATGCGTATATTAAGATGTTTGGTGGTACAAGAATAGATAAAGTTAAGAATGTTTACATTACAGGAAGTTTGAAAGTAGCGCCAGTGGTGGAGAAATTGAGAAGCAAAAGGTTAGTGTGGTATGGACACATGCGACGAGACGATGGGGACTTAATCCAGAAAGTGTTAAGATTGAATGATGGCTACAAAGGAAGAGAAAGACCGAAGAAAGTATGGATTGTGTGAAAGAGGATATGCTTAAGAAAGGAGTGTATTCAGATATGGCTGATAGAGATGTATGGAAGCAGTACATACTGTGCCGACCCTCCATAAGGGATAAGGGCAAGTTGATGATGGTGAAATGGTGAAATCGCCGATATAGTGACCGCTTCTCACCCGGTGTTTTGTTTTTTTTTTGTCAGAGGTCTTAAAATACAATTTTTGGAACATAAAACATTGTTACAGTTTGGCTTAGTGTTCCCTTTTCCTTTTAAACACAAACAGCCTTACAAATAAACGCAGTATAAAGTTAAACTTAGGAATAAACTGAATATAAGCAAATATTAGTAGAAATTTTGCTTATATATACCGCGTTTATTTGTAAGGTTTCTAGAATCGAACAAAAAAAAAATCGATTAAAATCTACAGTTAATATCGACATTTTAATCAACTTTACTACAAACTCATAACTTATATACGTCAAATTTGGCTGTAACTTTTTAATTTTGTTTTTTTTTTTAAAGTTATATACAATTTTATATACAGAAGTGTAAATAAAACAATACTTACAGAAGTATATTCGGAATCATTCCAGAGATCTTCTTCATAGCGAGTCAAGCCGTCTGTGATCACCTGAAAATTTAAAATATTTGATTACATAACTAGCTTTCGCCCGCGAATCCGTCCGCGTAAAATTAAAAAAAAAAAACAAAAGTGAGTAGCCTATATGTTCTTCCAGAGTATCCTCTACATCTATACCAAATTTCATGGAAATCCGTTGAGCAGTTTAGGCTACAAACTCTAACAAACATCCATCCGTCTATCGACTTTCGCATTTATAATATTAGTATGACATAATAAACATGTTACTAATATTATAAATGCAAAAAAGGACTTAAGACACGCTATAGGTTACACATTTTTACGCTTTTTTAACATATAGGGTGTATAAATTGAAAAAAAAAGAATAATGCGAGAAAGGGACAAAAACTTTAGGCTGACATCAAAGGCATTTGTCATTTTTGCATTTTAACAATAAAATAAAGTTTGTATAATTTCATGAAGCTGCACGGGAACAGTCTGATAAAAATATTTATATCTTACATATGTAGGTAAACTTGTGTAGAACGACATGACAAAGCCTTACTCTAAAGGGCAGGTGCCTTCAAGAGCAGTGTGAATCGGTACTTACTAAACTAGCGCGTACCATCCTTCGACCACATCTTCACTTTGGTCTAGGTGGGATAGTGGTCAAGCGCTGGTTTATACATGATAAAAAAGGGGGTACAAGTCTTACCTATGTAGGTAAACTTTTGTAAAACGACATCATACAGGTATATGACAGGGGAGGGGACACAAAAGTGCGTACCTGTTCGAGATCCTGTGTGATCTTAGTGCGCGACGTCCAGTCCCCCTGGCGGTCGTGTCCGTCATGTTTGGGAGCGCGCGCGCCCGCCTGCGTCACTATCAGCAGCCGACCGACATCGCGGTCCGTGAACTCTAAATCTGATTCCTCATCAGACCTGGGGAAAAGACAATATTATTATATAACATGAAATTAAATAATAATAAAATATAGCCTATGTTACTCAAAGACAACGTAGCTTTTTTTTTTTTTACAAGGTGGCTCACGAGCAAGCGATCTCCTGAATCCGCTGAAATGGCGAAGCGATCACTGTCCATAAACATTCCCCAATTGCAGATGCGTTTTCTACCCTTAACCGACGAAGGAGGAGACGCATATAAAGAGGATATTTCCCCTTCCTATGCGTTTCCTCCCCCCTTAAATTTACTTTTCCTTTCCATCCTTTCCTCTCAAGAAAAGGGTAGAAAAGTGACTAAAATCAAGCCTCCGGCACCACACTCGTCAGACTGCACGCGGAATTACTCCCGCTTCACGCATGTCTTCTGTATGGTCGTGGTATTGGTGGTATCTAATGGTGAAAAAAAAAATTTAATCGGCTCAGTAGTTATTGAGTTATTTCAATACATACAAGTATACAAAACTTTCCAAATTAAAATATTACTAAAGACTAGCTGTAACTCAAGATTACGGACGCGTGTAGTTCAAAAATTAAAAGTAGGCAATGTATTCTTTTAGAATAAAGTAACAGAAACCAAAGCCGAAACTGCAGAAACCGAAAGTTCCTTCGATCACTAACACTTTTATTACGTTTTTTGTATTCCATTTATATTTTTTACTCTATGTTAAATACCATATTTGTTATCTATAACATCCACATAAAATTATATCCTACAGAGACAGATTTAAAGTTCTGTCAACAGCTTTGTTAGTTAGAAATATCATTTTTGTATCAAAAAAAGCATATTGGAAATAATCAAAATTGACCATAGCAACATTAACTCACCAAGCATCAGTAAAAGTATTATGTCTCGGAGGAGGCAGATCCAGTTCCTCATCCAGCTGGAAGTGTAACTCCTCACGAGGTTCCTCCTCAGCAGGGAGAGCATTTGTCCCTGATCGTTCACGGGAGCCTGCCTTTGTGCGGCGCTTCACCTAAAAGAGAACATGTTACATGAAAGAGACAACAAGATACTATTATAATGAGATAGAAAGAGAACGATGATTTTACATAACCCATCCCTACTGATCTGTTAAACTAATCATCCTTATTTAGAGAAACTACGTTACTAGCTTTCGCCCGCACCTCCGTCCGCGTGAAAAGAAAGTGTGTTGCCTATGTGTTCTTCCAGACTATCCTCTACATCTATACCAAATTTCATCGAAATTCGTTCAGCTGTTTAGACTGTAAACTCTAACAAACATCCATCCATTCATCTAAACTTTCGCATTTATAATATTAGTACGTTAACAATATGTTAACACAAGTGAAGACCCTTTCGTACATTTAGCATTTATTCAGAGAAAAACAAACAAAACCCTGTTAAACAACAGTAATAATCGAAGTAAGTTAGTATTCATTTAAAGGCTGCTACACACGTTAAGTTTTGTCTGAAAATTCGGATCATTCAGATAAAAAGATCAGATACTAGCTGTTTCGCGACTTCTGTTGCGTCAAATAAAGCTTATGTTACTCACAGATTACCTTTCTAACAGTGAAGAATTTTTATAATCAGCAGAGTAGTTTTTTATTTATTTCGATACATAAAAAAAATACAAATCTTTCCTCTTTATAATATCAGTATAGATAAAGCTGAGTGTGTAGCCGACTTTACAGTCCATTTACTTATGACGTATTATTGTAACCTACAAAAAGACTGTATGTTTTATAAAAAACATATATCAATTTGTAGGTACATTTTCTATACCCGTATTGCGTAACCCTTCATCTCTATGGTGGAGAGATAAGAGGCCTAAATAACGGGACGACTCACGCTATAACCCAACGGAGTAGGCAGAATATGGACTCGAGACGAATCAATTACATTTTAATAGTTATCTACAACTAGCTGTTCCCGTGCGACTTCATTCGCATGAAATTATGAAAATTATTTTATTGATTACATTTGTCAAATTCAATTGAAAATGTCAAAATGACATGACATGATGACAAAGCATGGCAATTTTGCTTCCTTGATGTTGGCAGCAACTTACGGTTTCTTTCTTTAATGGCGTGAAAATATATAGCCTAAAGCGTGACGAAAGTGTCTGGATTTTTATTAAAAAAATAGTTATTGAAAAATAAGCTGTAATTGCTGACATCTTAGGCAACAAAGAAGTGTGTGTTTACGTTTTATTATAATAGTATAGATTAACATTGGTTAATACGACATTGTTTGAAAACACAAAACTTTGTCCAATAACTAATAACTTTTATATTTGATATTGTATTATTCACTTATATTATAAAAAGGAAAGATTTGTATTTTTTAAGTCTAGTATGTATTGAAATAACTCCAAAACTACTACTAAAATTCATGCACCATTAATTATTAAAAAGCTATCATCACTGAGCAACACAATTTTTAACTATTGCTTTAAAAGTACGCGGGCAAAGTCGCGAGCAAAAGCTAGTCATCATATACTTGCTAATATTATAAATGTGAAAGTTTATATGGATGGATGGATGGATGTTTGTTAGAGTTTGTAGCTTAAACGGCTGAACGGATTTCAGTAAAAAGTGGTATAGATGTAGAGGATAGTCTGGAAGAACACATAGGCTACTCACGTTTTTTTTTTAGTCCCACACGGACGGAATCGCGGGCGAAAGCTAGTATAAAATAAAGTATAGGATATGTGTACATACTGTGCCGACCCGCTATAGACAAGGGTAAGTTAATAATGATGATTTTAGTCAGGGGTTTGTGTCATAACCTCCCTCGGTCTCACCTCGGTCCACACATCAGAGTGTGTCCTCTGTCCCGGGCTGCCGTTGCCCGAACGCTTGTCTCCTTGTTCTTGTTTGTTCTCTGCATCTTCTGGAAAACAAATATAAAATATATGTAACAGCTGTTGCCCGCGACTTCGTCCACGCAATATTAAGATATAGATAGCCTTCAATATGTAATCTGTATGTATGTAAATGTAATATGTAATATGAAATCGGTCCCGCCGTTTCGGGGATTACCCGGAATAAACGCGGCTTGCGGACAAACAGACAGACAAAATATGTTTAAATGTATATTCCTGAAATCTGGTATTTTTCTTTCAATATTACAAACAGACACCCCAATCTATACTATTATAATAAAGCATACACACACACTTCTTTGTTGCTTAAGATGTCAGCAATTACACCATATTTTAGAATAATTCTTTTTTTTAATAAAAAGCCCTACACTAACGTCACGCTTTAGGCCATATATTTTCACGCAATTATACTTGGGGAGTAAATATTTTGGATAAAGACCGTAATGAGGGAAAGAGACCATAAGTTGTTGCCAACATCAAGAAAGAAAGATTGCCAAGGTTTGTCGTGTCATGTCATTTTAACATTTGCAATTGACAATTTGACAAATGTAAACAGTAAAATAAAGTTTTATAATTTCATGCGGATGAAGCCGCACGGGAACAGCTAGTATTAAGATAAAAAAGACAGACAGACAAATTTTTTAAAGCGATTTTCATTATCAGTAACGCAAATAATCTTCCCGAAATCTGAAATTTTTCTTTTGATATTACAAACAGATACTCCAATTTTATATGTATAGATATAGATATTGTACATTACCTGCTCGTCTCGCTTGCGGCACAAACTCTGGTACATCTGGATTCAGAGGGTCTCTGGGAGCGGCGCGCCCGGTGCGAAACATCCTGCAAAAAACATCGGAAATAACTACAAATTCGAATTTCGTGACATTATGGCTTTAGAAATATTGTCTACTAGCTTTCGCCCGCGATTCCGTCCGCGTGGAATAAAAACAAACAAAAAAGCAGCCTATGTGTTCTTCCACACTATCCTCCAAATCTATACCAAATTTCATCGAAATCCATTCAGTAATTTAGGCTACAAACTCTAACAAACATCCATCTAAACTTTCGCATTTATAATATATTGTTTATTGTTTATAGAATGTACTTTAACTTCTAAGGGCCTGTCTCACTAAATTGTAAATTTTCTGATAACAATCCAACGTGTAAAATATGTGATAGACATATCGGATTTTGTTACCTTATCTGTCATTTTTAAGCTATCTGAGCCTCTATCAGCCAGTGGTGGGACAGGCCCAAAAACTAACTAATACTATAAACTAATATTCACCTGTGATTTCCGCGTGGAATTAAAAAAAGTAATTATGTCTATATTAATATTATTAAACTACTTGATTTCGTTCGCTTAATTCCACACGAACGTAGTCGCGGGCTATAGCTAGTATATGTTATTTACTAATAAATAGCTATAATTAGTATTTGTTCTTACCTAGGCAGCGGCGGCGGGGGCACAGCACGAAGTAACCCAGAGACGGGGGCCACCAGCGGACCCCCCATTGTAGCCAATGGGAATATACCCACCATTTGCTTCTTACGTCTATAAAAACACAAAAATTACACCTAGAAAGTAAACTTATTGCTTTTGTATATTGTTTTCTATTTTCCTATGTAATTGTGTTATTAAATAAGCTATTATTAATAAATACATGAAATAGTTACTAAGCATCCATTAATAATGAAATAGTGCCATCTATTGACTGCAATTTGAAATCAGATTACTTTTTTAAATAATATAAATTGTCTGTCATATTACATATAACACTTATATACTATTATGAACATACTTGAAAACATCGATAACATTTTTAGATTAAAAAAACTTCGCAAGCACGAATCAAACTCATTTTTTTAATATTTTATTTATTTTTGTTCCTGATGTGACTCTATGGAAGAATATATCCCAAATAACACTCCTCAAAATAAGAGAATTATTTATGCTCATATACAATAAAACTATTCAAATACAAATAAACTCACTTTTTCTCTCCCGGCTTTTCCTCATTCTCTGACTGCAGTGGAGGATCTTCTGAATTCTGCTTCTCTTTCTCTTCTACCTCCTTCTGTTCAGTATCTTCTGTCTTCTCTATCGTTTGTTCCTTTTCTTCTATCTTAGCATCATCTTGATCCTTAGGTTTCTCTTCGTTGGTTACAGTCGACTCCGTCTGTGATACAAGCTTGAATATATTTCTAAATAAATTTTATAATCATTTAAAATTATATTTCAATATTTAAATATGTATAAGAAAACTAATAAATTTAACTTTGAGGCTAAGAGAAATTATTTTTAGGTAAAATAATTTTTGATTATAATCAAATCGTTATAATCAAAAATTATTTTCATTTTAGAGGGCGCTGTCATCGAATATAATTTAATAATCTACAATTGCGACTTTTAATATGAAAAACTAATATTTAAAATCATAAAAAACTAATACAATTCAAATATAGAAGTTTTGTATAAAAGCTACTGAATTATTTTGCATTAACTGTAGCTCGCGACTTAGTATGCGTGATATTTAGAAATAAAAAAAATATAGCCTATGTTACTCACTTGTAACATAGCTTTTTAATGGGGAAAGTACTTTAGAAATCCAATAATTTTTGAGTTATTACAATACATATAAACATACAAGTATACAAATCTTTCCCCTTTATAATATTAGTAAGATTTAGCATGTAGCAACACGTATGAGCCTCAAAGCGCATACGCACTAGAGGTTCGGTTGTGCTGCGTCACTATTACCGCTGGATGACGTCATCGTATAGTGCATACACGATCACAAAGTCACAGCGGTACACAAAATTAACAGCAAAAACAATCATTTTAACTTGTAAAGAATAATCTCAAAAACTTGAGCCATTTTGAAATTAATTTCACCAGTAGAAAGAGATATTACTGACTGACATGAGGTATAAATAATACTAGTTTTTTTTTATAATTCAAGGACAAAAGTTAGGGCCTGTCCCACCACTGGCTGATAAAGGCTCAGATAGCTTAAAACGACTTCACTGTCAGATAAGGGAACAAAATCCGATATTTCCATCACATATTTCACACATTGGATTGTTAACAGACAATCTACTATTTGGTGGGACAGTCCCTTAGCTTCGTAAAAATTCTACACATGCTTTCAAATGTTTATAACTTACTTCAGTATCGACAACAGTCGGCTTAGCAACTTCGGGCTCTTTCTCCACTTTCTCCACCTTCTCTTCTATACTGGGAGCTTCTTCTATCTTCTCCCTTTCTTCTATTACTTCTTTAACCTCTTTGTTTTCATTTTGTTCCTTGTCAACGTCGTTCACCTTATCCTTATCGGTATCGTTTGCATCTGGTTTCTCATTTTTATCGTTTCTTTCAGTATCGTCAGAGTTTGTTATATCTAGAATCGGCCATTTCGTCGGTTCAAATGCTGTTCGGACCTGGAATATTGTAAAATACAAATCTTTACTATTATAAGCGTAAACGCACACTTCATTGTTGCCGAAGATGTCAGCAAATACAGCATATTTTTGAATAGTTCATTATTAATAAAAAGCCAGACACTTAAGTCACGCTTTAGGCTATATATTTCAACGCCACTAAACTTAGAGGGTAAACTTTTGGATAAAAACCCTAATGTTGGAAAGAGAGTTGCTGCCAACATCAAGGAAGCAAGATTGCCAACGTTTATAATGTCATGTTATTTTGACATTTGTAATTGATAATTTGACAGATGTAAACAATGAAATAAAATTTTCATATTCATGCGGATAGAGGATACTCTGGAAGGACACATAGCGTACTCACCTTTGATTTTTTTAATTTCACGTGGACGAAGTCGCGGGTGAAAGCTAGTTTTTATATATTGTACATTACAGTTGTGTGAAACTCACCTTAAATCCGTTAATAAGCTGCAGTTTATCCGAATCGCGGATCGCGTCCAGCACCAGCTGCACGTCCGCTGTGAGCGCGCGCACGCGGTGGAATGACGCGATCAGTGTCACTGGTATCGTGCCGTCCGCCGCCATCTTGCGCCGCAGGAAGAAATCACGCGCCAAATTATCCGGACTGAAGTAGTACTCGCTGGAAATAGAAAAAAAAATATTAAAAAACCACACCTGTTTCCTATTTTCCTATGTAGTTGTTTGATTAAATTAGCTGGTAAATCATACTAATATTATAAACGTGAAAGTATAGATGGATGGATGGATGTTTGTTAGAGGTTGTAGCCTAAACTGCTGAACGGATCTCGATGAAATTTACATAGATGTAGAGGATAGTCTAGAAGTACACATAGGCTATGTATCTTTGTTTTTCTTTTGAAGTCGCGGGAGAAAGCTTTCAAATCTAAATGATACAAAAAACTCACATTTGCTTCTTAATAAGGTCCTTGAGGGTAGCATGGTCCAGGCCTAGTCCGTAGGGCGGGGCGTTGTAGTAGAAGGCCTGGGCGAGGGGGGCGACGTGCACCGCCCCGTAGTGCAGCATCAGGCCCTGCGCCACGCCAGCTTGAGCTCGCAGCTGGGAGGGAGGGGAGGGGGTTGTATGCGGGTATGTGCCTCCGGGGGTATTAATTTTTGTATAAATAATTCAATTATAAAACTTAGCTAATACATGATTATATTGCTAAATTGTACGTCACTATGCGAAATCTCATATTGATAATTCCTGTTAATACCTATTTATTCTACTCTTGAAGGGATGTCTTATACGGACAGAATAGCCTAAACTTTTACCTCTATGCGTAAGTTATAATAATTAAATGTACATGTAAAATACAGTAGATAAGACATAGTGGTATTTAAATGATAAATTAATTTTTTTTAAATGTTATGTCCATTAAATTATTTAAACTTTCGTCAGACATTTTATAACTAAATATATTAGGGCTGTTACTCACGTCTACTTTTAAAGTTTTGTCCAGTAAACATTTATTTATTAAATGTATTGGCACCTAGTTTTATTTGCGACTTTGTCATTTGGAATTTAAAAAAAAATCAACTTTCTATAGTAGTCTATGTCAGCAATATTGTACTTTTCTCATGGTAATTGGTAATTTCAAAAATGTAAACAATAAGATAACATTTTAGTAATTCAATGCGGATGAAGCCGCACGGGAACAACTAGTGCTTTAATAACATTGTAGAGATTTCTCATAGTAACCACAGATTATATAAATCAGCATATAAGAGATTGTAATACTATTTACTAACCGGAGACACATTATCATGCATGATATGATAAAAACATCACCATTTATATTATTAAAAATATTAGTAAATCCCATATAAATATACCTTTGAAACCAAATGTAATGAAATTTTGATTTATTTTGAGTGCCATATATTAGTAAGCATTTATCTATATGTATATTATAGAAGTTATGTTTGTATCTTAGTTCCCTATGTGACATCACCAGATCACTATACATGCCCACTAAGGCTCGGAGCCTACCCTTAGTGACTAGGCCATAGTCAGCCTGCACTGCGACTTCACACATATCTTTGAATTTCTTCACCGATATGTGCATCACGATGTTTCCCTTCACCGTAAGAACTTCAGTTAAATTATATAGGTAAATTCAAAAAATAAACACATTCGAACCCAGGACTTGTAGATTACAAGTCAAGTTTTTAAACCTTGAGCAAACGACATTTTATTTTAATAACATGCACAGGTAACATACATAAAAACAATGAATTTTTCCTCATAGTTTTAGAATAAAAATTCAAACCATAAATTAAATATATATAAACAATAATTCAACAAACATAAATATTAATAAAAAAGCATGGCACTCAAAACATATGAACCAAATGACCCAATAAAGCAGATTTAGGATATTTTGGGATTTGACCTAACTTTGGTATAGAAATTCCTTCTATTATAGAAAGAAATCTATACCACGAACAAGTTTGTTCTTGTCCGCAAACATATTAAAACTTTTTTCACATATTATTAATTAAAAATAATCCTGAAAATACAACTTATAATTGATTTTAACTGTTAAATATATTGCGAAACAAGTTTATAAAATAAATAAAAAAACACATAAAAATACCAACAAAATAAATTAAAACAAAAAATAAAATCAATGATATTGCTAAAACAAATTGATATTTTAAAAAATCAACGAAAATTTCTCAATTATTTGAACAAGTTGGTGTCATTAAAAGTTTAAAGTATAAAAAATACAATTTTTGTTGCTTAAAAAATTTTTACATGACAATAATACCAATACACAAAAATCAAAATCAGACGCATTTCTCTAAACTAGTTCAGTAGATATTTTAAATCAGTTAATCACACTCTTATATAAGGAATTAAAAATATACATTTAAAACTGAACTAAAAAAAAGGACAAGATTATAAGACTGTTAAAAAAAAACATGAGTGAAGATATCCTTCTAGCAAGTTCTATCAGTTACCTGCGGCAGATCCGGGTGTGAGAACTCGTGGTGGTAGAGCGCGTGCGGAGGGAGGGGCAGCGCGGAGGCGGGGCGGGGCGTAGCCCTGCGCCCGCCGCGCCCCCTCGTGGAGCCCCGACCGCGGTTACCCATACGACCTCGGTCCTCACCGTTCAGTGATACCGTATCTGGAAACAATGGGAATACAATTATATTCTGTGTTGAAATTATAAAAACATAAGGGACTATCAGCTAGTGGTGAGACGAACACTGGCTGATAGAGGCTCAGATTGCTTAAAAATGACATCACTGTCTAATAAGGGACCAATATCCGATATTTACAGCACATATTTTACACCTTGGAATGTTATCACCGGTAGAGGTAGACATAGAAAGAGATGGATGGATTGGGTGAAAGGTTTTTTTTTTATAACATAAGGTGGCAAACGAGCAAGCGGCCCCCTGAATCCGCCAAAATGGCGAAGCGACCGCTGCCCATAGACATCCGCAATTGCAGATGCGTTGCCTATCAGACAATTTACAATTTAGTTAAGTTAAATTTATGGGTAGATCGTTTTTTTAATCTATGAAAAATAAAGAAAGTGGTGCCAAATTTCCATCTTGTATATCATATTTAACAATTTTAATAATCGCCTTGAAAGTGTTTAAACACTGGTAACAAAATATCCCATCATGATTGCTAACATAAAAAGTAACAACAAATACTAAATACTGTGCTATTTATAATTACCAAAAACTACATAACAGTTATCAATAATATAGTATTCAACTACACAAAAGTGGAAAAAACTACATAAAGTACACAGAAGTAAATTAAAAAATAAGAAACAAGAACATACAATATTTACATCTAACAAATCAATAATAAATTTTAAAACTACGAAAGAAAAACTTAATCGTGATTTACTAAAAACGTGTTGTCTAAAAACATATAGTGAAATTCTTTCTAAAACATTGTATAATCAAATCCAACAAAAATGAGAAATACACATATAATATACTAGCTTTCGCCCGCGACTCCGTCCGCGTGGTATTGAAAAAAACAAAAGTGAAAAGCCTATGTGTTCTTCCAAACTATATTCTACATCTATGCTAAATTTCATCGAAATCCGTTTAGCCGGTTAGGCTACAAACTCAAACAAAGATCCATGCATCCATCCATCCATCCATCCATCCATCCATCCATCTAAACATTCGCATTTATAATATTAGTATGAAGTATGATTGTCTACTAGCTTTAGCATGTGACTCTGTCAGCATGGAATTTAAAAAAAAACCCTATGTGTTCTTCCAGACTATCCTCTTCATCTATGACTTCCATCGAGATCCATTCAGCAGTTGAATCTACAAACTCTAACAAACATCCATCTAAACTTTAGCATTTAAAATATTAGTATCATGTTATTATTCATTTCTTTATTCACCCACACATACACACATACACACTCATGCATACAAATCCACATTAATAACGCCCGTGCATAAATATGGTACACATAAAATTAAAATAAAAATATATTTAAAATAAATTTTAATTGCACACAGTGTGAACTGGTCCTTATTTTCGTACATTCAAAGCAAACATGTGGTTGACTATGGCCTAGTCACCCTTTATTAGGGTAGACTCCGAGCCCCTCGGTGGGGACATATAGTGAGTTGGTGATGATGATGATGACGAAAGCGAACACCTATAATGACTCACAGAACCACTGAACACTTCTACACACATGATTTGTTAATTTCTTTTTCCTAAATTGTTTCATTGTATGGTTGAAGTGTTATTTAAATTATTAAGTGTAATTTATGTTATGGAAGAACGGAGTATCCTGTCACAGGTATTTTATACTTAAAAGGATGCTCCAACAACTGTTTAAAACTTTTGTAAAGGTATTTTTCAAATAAACGAATTTATTTATTTACTAGCTTTCGCCCGTGACTCCGTCCTCGTTTTATAAAAAAAATGTAAGTAGCCTATGTGTTCTAGACTATTCTCTACATATATGTCAAATTTCATCGAGATCCATTAAACAGTTTAGGCTACAAACTCTAACAAACATCCATCTAATCTTTCGCATTTATAATATTAGTATGATTTATTCATTTATTTATTTATTGTCAACTAGCCCGTGACTTTATCAGCATCGAATAAATAGGAAGAGTATCCTATGTGTTCTTCCAGACCATCCTCTACATCTATGACTTCCATCAAGATCTATTCAGTTTTACCACTAACAAACATCCATACATCTAAACTTTCGCATTTATATGAGTAAGACAAGTAAGATGGATTTATTTTGTATTCAGTATTTAATTTATACAAACTTGTCTGTAAAGTCAATTTATTTACATTGTGCTCTATTTTCTAACAAATTTTATTATACATGTGTTTAGACAGAAAAATTAACAAATACTTTGTACTAACTACAATACATTTAAAATATAAACTCTATTTACAATCTACTGCCATCTTTTTTAATCTGTACCTGACATTTGTGTAACCGGTGCCCGAGATAGGATTCCTAGGACACCTGGAAGATAGTACTAGACTTACAACAATAATAATTCAAGCTCATATCTCAGAGGGGTAGGCAGACAATGGAATAATTATGATGGTAATCATACCTCTCTTACATTTATCTACATATATCTTAAAAGCCTGATTTTTATAATTGAATTGCAAAATGTATAAGTAAAGGGTACCCTTTACTGTATTTTTAACTAAAGGTGGAAAAATAGTAAAAAAATCAAAACGACATTTTCATACATTTTTGTGATATGCTCCTTTTTGTTTTCTAACTTGAAGATTATCAGTGAAAGGTAACATGTATTCATCCTTATCTATACTATTATAATAAAGCGTAAACACACACTTCTTTGTTGCCTAACATGTACAATTACAACATATATTTGAATAATTCTTTTTTTAATAAAAAGCCCTACACTTAAGTCACGCTTTAGGCTATATATAATTTCACGCCATTAAACTTAAGGAGTAAAACTTGGATAAAAACCCTAATGTGGTAAAGAGACCATAAGTTGCTGCCAATCAAGGAAGCAAGATTGTCATCATGTCATGTCATTTTGACATTTGTAATTGATAATTTGACAAAGGTTGTTTACCTATCAAATTTTTTTTTTATAATTTCATGCAGATGAAGTTGCATGGGAACAGCTATAGAATCGATTGTAGGTGACCAAAGCGATTTTTAAACCCTGGTTTCAAATTAAAAACTTTAATTATTTAATGGTTAATTCGGAAGAGACGCACATAAAGATATCTTCTCTTTCCATTTCCACCATCAAAAATAATTTCCTTTCCCATCCTTTATAAGAAAAGAGTAGAATGGGAGAAGACAAAAATTAGTCCTCCTACACACATTTAGACTGTAAGGAATTACTTCCACTTCACGTAAATCTTTTGAGAGTGAGTAGGCATTACATTGTGAACATTAAAGTTCTATATTTTTTTTTTATAACATAAGGTGGCAAACGAGCAAGCGGCCACCTGAAACCGCCAAAATGGCGAAGCGACCGTTGCCCATAAACATCCGCAATTGCAGATGTGTTGCCTACCCTTATAAAACGGAGGAGACGCACATAACGAGGATATTTCCCCTTCCTATGCATCTCCTCCGCCGTCAAATCCACTTCCTCTTCCCAACCTCTTCTTATAAGAAAAGGGTGGTAAAGAGAAAGGGACTTAAATTAGGCCTCCGGCACCACACTCATCAGACTGTACACGGAATTGTTTCCATTTGACGGTTGTCTTCTGTGCGGTCGTGGTATTACTGGGGGCGAGCCCTGCAGTGCTAACATGTTAAAGCGGGCACTACCACTGTTAAAATCAATCACTGTTTGTACCACATAGTGTAAGTTATTTGTATTTTTGTTACTTACCATTATCATTCCTGTGCGAGTGAAGTGGACCATGCTTGCCAGGTCTGGGTGCTTTCACATCTATATCCAGAGGGACCCATTTGTGTTTGCCTGATTTACTGCTTCCTTTCCCTGCACCTGGAACAAAGATAATCATTATTTTTTTTATAACATAAGGCGGCAAACGAGCAAGCGACCATAGAGTTAGCTGCCAACGGACATCTGCAATTGCAAATGCGTTGTCTACCCTAAACTGAGAGAAGAGAAGAAGCACATAAACAGGATATTTCTCCTTCCTGTACGTCTCCTCTGCTATCTAATCCATTTTTCCTTCCCATACTTTCCTCTTCAGAAAAGCATGGAAAGGAAAAGGGTCTAAATTTAGGCCTCAGCTACCACACTCATCAGACTGCACGCGGAATTGCTTTCACTTCACGCCTGTCTTCTGTGTGGTCATGGTATAGCTGAAGCGAGCCGCCACATGCGAAGATGTTAAAGCGGGCTCTACCACTGTCGAATTAATCCTATTGATTCCTATTGACGAGTGTCGGTGGCTCAGTGGTATAAGCACTTGACTTTTTATCTACAGGTCTTGGGTTCGAATCCCGATGTACCAATGTGATTTTCGATTTTTTCGAATTTAACATATGTACATTTACCTGACGTTCTTACGGTGAAGGTAAACATCGTGATGCCTGCACATATAGGTGAAGAAATTCAAAATATATGTGTGAACTCAACCCGCAGTGCAGCGTGGTTGACTATGGCTATTTAAAAATATACTATGATTGCTGATATTCCACATAACAAAGGAGCGTGTGTTTACGCTTTATTATTTCAGTATAAAAGTATAGAAAAAAGGAAATTTCAAAGAACAAGAAATTAAAGTGGAGAATTAACTTACAAAACATGTTATTTTTTTTATTTACTAGAACTTCAATCTTACTAATATTATAGATAAATGCGAAAGTTTGGATGGATGGATGGATGTTAGAGTTTGAAGCTCAAAATACTGAACGAATTTTGATGAAATTTGGCATAGACTTAGAGTCACTGAAGTAGAATACATAGGCATATATTTTTTTTAATTCCACGCGGGCAGAGTCGCGGGCGAAAACTAGTTGCATATAAATGGAACTAATCCCTTAGTGACAATTTAACAAATTACCTGTGCCAGTTTTGTTCTTGTCCATTTTGTCGTGGTGTTTGTCGTTATGGGGCTGGTGGTTGTGTTGAATCTCCACCTTCTCCGTCTTTGTCTGCTCCTCTGGAGGCTTCCTCTCCTGGTCCTGAAATCATTTACCATCATATTTTACAAATATATCTTAAAATAGTTAAATATAGCATTAATTTAAATTTGCAAAAGCGCCATCTATTTTAATCTTAAATATTACAAATGCGAAAATTTAGATGGATGGATGGATGTTTGTAGCTTAAACGCCTTAACGGAATTCGATGAAATTTGGTATAGATGTAGAGAATAGTCTGGAAGAACACATAGGCTACCCACTTTTAATTCCACGCGAACGGAGTCGCGGGCGAAACTTAGCGTTAAATTAGTATGGGATGTTTGTTTTTTCACCACTATAAAGCTAATTTATAACTGAGTAACATAGGCTATAATTATTACAAAATTTCTTTTTCCGCATAGAAGAAGTCTCACAGAAGCTAGATTAAAAATGTTGAGTGGCATTGTTTGGAAATTCTGTCTTTATGTAATTCTAGCTGTAGCTCGCGACTTGATCCACATCTAATTAAGAAATAATAAACAAAATTTGCCTATGTTACTCACTGATAAATGACCTTACTAATGTTGATAGAATTTTTTAATATCGGTCCAGTAATGTTTACGTGAATCAAATACATACAAAAGTACAAATCTTTTCGCTTTATAATATTAGTATAGATATACAATACACACCGCATTTCCATTATGATGCGAAGAGTCCGCATCATGTGGGGGCGGCGTGGAGTGACAGCGAGCGGCGCCGGTAGCAGCGCCTAGTGTGGGCCAGTCACCGATATCCGTGAAGTCTGAAGCCTGAAGACAAAAATGACAAAGTTAGTTAGATCAAAGCTGATTGTAACATTAGTAGCGCTCTGGGCGAGATTCAAACCCATACGAAATGCGCCCTTTTATGCGAATACAGCGCCCTGGGCTGTCTGAGTTAGAGATGTAAATGCTCTTGTATAGTACGACAAACTTCTCTGACCTGGTAAAAGTGAAAGTATAAAACTAATAAAACACTATCTCCCTAATACCAATGATCCTTGACTACTTCTGTCTATCATATTGTCTAGCCGAAGCGATAGTGTCTCACCGGGACAGATAAACTTGCCCATTTGTATGTTAACGCATTTCAAATCTATGATTAGAATATAACAAGATTCAAATATTATGCGCGATCAAGGTTTGCGCGCTTGTACGCAAATAAATCTGGAGTAAAATTGCGACATAACTTTGGAATATCCATTGGGTTCAATGGATATTGGATAATCAAATGGATATCAATATAAAAACGCTAATCATCTACACCTGCGCTTCATTTTCGATCTTCGCCCAACACCGTCTCGACTTCGACTTCCTTCTAGTCGCAACACCCGCCGTCATCTCGACTCTTGCACTTACACTTCGTACACTTTACACTTTAGTGCGGCATTATTACACTTTTGTACACTTTGCACTGTTTATATCATTTTTGATTTAATTCATTCTAAGTTAGTCAACTATAAAAGAATCATACATTTTATAAGTGAAAGACCTAGTAGTTTTGGCGTGACACACACATTTTACACCCATAGAGAGAGCGAGAACTCAAAAACCACTATAAACTAATATTTGTCAAACTTTCTTATAACAAAAAGTTGTGTAGCATTTGATTCAGAACGTAAAAACGAAACTAATCTTCTTTACATACCAATTAGAAGGGTATACATCTATTCAAATATATTATCAGTTTAAGGTCAACGCTGCGCAGTGCCTACGTCGTATCTACAATGATCTTACGCAGAGCGACTCGTACAATATTCCGAGCTTACGAGACATGTGACAAAGTCTATACTACACAGTAAACATAAATAACTCAAAAACCCACAGATAAGTGAACCGGCTCACAGATCAGCTCAGAGGTGAGAGTCATTGGACAATTCGCGGCTCGTTATAGCATATACGTTGTTGTTGAGCCGTAGCTCAACTGTTCACATCTGCGAGCGGATTTGAACCGGTTTAAAGGTGATTTACACACTACCTATAGTAGACAGTAGAACAAGTCTCATCTTTGACCTTCTAAAGTCAAGATCCTGTCCAGGTCATGTCAACGTACGACATACATCGCCTGACAACAATATACATAATATCACCATTATTTACTAGAATGCCGTTGGCATTTAGAACACGGAAGCGTCTGCGATCCGGTCCACAAGGTTTTAAAGAAACTTTTATTAACTAGATATTAAAAGAAAAAGGTGAATAAAGCTGTGCTGTATCTTTTTTTAATCTTTGATTTGATAATTTACAGTATAAATAACATCATTTAAGACCCGCATTCTCAGACATTTTAATTGCAAACATATGTATTCAGAAAATCTTCTTTACTAATATAATAAAGCGTAAACACACACAACTTAGTGGCGCAGAATGTCGGCAACACAGCATCTTTTGAATAATTCTTTCTTTAATAAAAAGCCCTAAACTTACGACACGCTTTAGGCTATATATTTTCACGCTATTACGAAAAAAACCTTCATGTGGGAAAGGAACCATAAACTACAAGTTGCCAACATTAAGGAAGCAAGATCATTATGGTAACGGTAATTTTGACATTTGCAATTGAGAAATTGACAAATGTAAACAATAAAATAAAATTTTTATAATTTCATGCGGATAAAGCCGCGCTGGAAATGTCCGCGCGGAAAAAGTAACCAAGAGGTAGTCTATTAGAAAGTGGACTAATTTATTGATTAATTTATCTGAAACCCAGGCTAGTTACGTCTTTATTAATAGTATAACACATTACTAAGAAATTCTATGATTTCACTTACCCCTAGTGTATAAATGCAAGGGGGAAAATCCATATTTATTAACGTGGGTTTTATAACCGTTTTATAAATATATTTCCATCCTTGTTTTTCCGTATAACGCAACGAGATAACAATATCACATATGAAAGCAAGGGAAACACATTCTATAAATGAACATCTGTATCATATACATAAAAACATAATTTCTAGTTCTAACAAGTTAGTAAATTATAAATTTAACAATAATTTACGTGATTAAAATCGATTGTCCGAAAACAACCAGACATAAGATAAAAGTAAGGTTATACGGTCAAATATTGCGCATATGGTTCGGCAACATATTAATGCAATAAATACCAAGCTAATATGTAAAAAACAAACACTAATTAATTCATTATTAAAAAGGTAAAAATTAAATGTTTTAAAATGACGTAAACTTCACGCCGGTATTAAAACAATTAAAAAAACAACAGACACAAACGCCCTTGTAAATAACACAAACAAATCACAGTGTACAAATAAACGGCACTGTTTTTACACAACTTATAGGTTTTTACTTTTTAAGACGTATTTAGTTTTGTAGCCATGTTAAACACCGCACAGAATATAACCTCAAAATCCAACGCATGCGCTCGCTAGCCGACGCGTTTACCACGTTTCGACTTTTAATAGGGTGACCAACAGATGTTTTTTACAAAATTAGTCCCAAGCGAAATAAAACTAACATTTATCAATAACTAATTATAAAGTGAAAACTTAATTATATTTTGTATTTAAAATCAATAGTCTTATGTGCTTACAAAAATAATACGCAATTAAAATGGACAACGTTATCAACAGAAAAAATAATTGTTTGTTTTAAAACTTAAACACTGCAGTGACTTAACGAATTTACAGATAAAAGAAAAAAATACAATGTAAACATTTTATCGAAGAATCCCAAAATATAATCTAAAAATTGTAGCTACACTACATCACGCATCTATCTCACTCGCACCCAACCGGTGGTCCCAACCAAGGTCGAGTTTCTCGAGCGATTCGCGAACGTCACGCGGCCTTCGAGTATTATAATTCACATTTAATTTATGTAATTATATTGATATAAGCTTGATATTTCCATTGCTTACGCACGTATCTTTCACTTTCATATCAGATTGGAGAAAGTCAAGGTTTTTAACTAGAAAAATAATGACTTATTTTTGTTGCATATTTCGAGATTTCAACACAGTTATATTTGGATCCAAAAAATTGACAGGTATAGAACGTCATAAAGTAAACTGTTAACCGAAAATAACTAGCTATTTCTTCATCAACATTTAAGATGTTTCAACAGTTCAAAGCTGTTCATTTAAAAAATTGCAGTGGGTCGTTGACGAACCGTTAGGTTTAGACAAGAAGACTCAACTAATACAATGTACGTCTAATTCTTAAAGTAACTGCATTGCTGAAGTTCAAATATCAGCGTCTATAAGATTATTGATCGGATTGCGTACTAAAGTTGTTGCGCCAAATGTAAATGCGTAATTTCTGCCTACCCTTTCTACGCTTTCAGTTGTGCGCACTAAAGAAAAATTTAATATTTTATACATAGTAATAGGAACTTACAAAACAAAAGGACAGATGATTCTATTCTAATTCCTATTTTTATGTTTAGCATATAGTGTGCAATGTCAAAGATATTGACTCTTATGTCAAAAGCTAAATATTATCTGCAAATTACAGAGTAAAAGATCTACATTGATAAATGATACATGATGTAAGTATAATCAGTTATCTATGCTCTATATTTGATAAAACAATATCAACTAACGCTAATACATTTTAAACAGTGTAAGTTTTTTGAAAAAAATGTGTCATTACCATTCACAGGAAGATACGTATAATGATGTTTCACGTGACCCTAGAACTATACTACCACGACATATGTATAGCGAACTGACATCACTTTAATTCTCTTTGACTTAAGACACTCCAAAATGTTCTAATAAAAGCGTCACGGCAGTCGTATTTTACGGTAAGTTACAATTTATTTTAATTACCACTAACTCTGTTACGTAGCGTATTTGCCATTTCCCATACTTCGATACGCGCTTATCGTCTTTATCGTTCAGTTGAAGTGGAATTATTTCATACGGTGCCTCGATAGGTGGTATTTGTTGCATTTATCAAAAGCCGTCGCCTCGTAAAGTGGCTGATGTTTTGTATTTTTATGCTCGGATGAAATAAAATTAACTCGTAAATTGATTTCTATTCGGCATTACGAAAACGGTAATCAAGTTCGCGTTTATCGAATTACGGTTTCTATCGTTGATTTTTGTTTTGAGTAACGATGACTAATTTAAAACAATTTTAATACTAGCAACCTAGGTTATGTAAATTACCGAGTCAAACTCAAAATTGACAAAACCTAATCTTTAGAGCAATCCGCCTATATGAACTACTAGCTGTTGCTCGCGAATATGCCCGCGTGAAATTAATAAATATAGTTAAAACGGCCTATGTTACCCAGTGATAACATAGTTTTTTTATGGCGTAATAATTTTTGTAAGGTCCAGTAGTTTTTGAGTTATTTCAATACATACAAACATCCAAAAATACAAATCTTTCCTTTTAACCTTATTAGTAAGTATAGAAGTACAGATTACGTATTCAAACTTTCTGTATTTGCAAAAAGGTTTTGCGCGATCAAACAGTAAAGAATATACCACGGCCGTCTGAAACGTGTGCTTCATTGATGAATTCATAACCTGTGTATTCAGCTATTACAATCCGGTGAATAGACGTTCGTGAGTCGACTATTGGTACAATCGTTTGTTCTCGACTTGTTTACGCTAGAATTACAATGACGCAGAGATATAAAGGAGACATCGGTATTTTCTTAACACTTGTGTATAATATTTGTCATTGTAACAGGTAACTAACCGATTGGTACAAGATATAATGGTGCTATATTGTATTTGTAGCAAACGTAAAATAATCAAAACTCTGATGTCTGAAATATTCAAATTTTTAAGCCCATTA